AATCAATCATTGTCTCTCCAACAGATACATTGCACAAGAAAAAAATATACCAGTTGTCTGCAATCATAGAAAGCCAAGAGTGGTGTGTGTACAGTGAGCGATATGCCTTTTCAGTCTTTAACAGACATAACATATGTAAAATCCAAAATATTCTGTGTCTGTCTTTATAATCAAACCCAATTTCAGGTTTTTTAGTTGTGAATGACGTGGGATCAAGAAATATGTTCCTTCACCTTCATCCAACCCCAAATTTTGAGGCACAAAACGTTGGAGTTTCTACCAAATCCTCCTCCCGGCCAATTAACTAACACTTTCCGGAGACAAAAAGAAAGAAGAAGGAAAAAACATGGATTCTAAATTCCAAAATTAACAAGCTCACTGTTAAGTGCAAATTATTGGTCAACAAAACCACAAGACCCAAAGCTCACTTATAATACTATGTTTCTTGTCAAGTGTAGGATTTTTTTAAGAGCAAAAGAGGGCCACATCATGTCCACATGGTGAAACACGCATGCCGGTATCTAGGAGGCCGTAATCGGCGCCGGTAACCGGCGGTGAACGGTGAAATGTCAGTGGGGCCTGGCCAACAGTCACCCTTCTCTGTCGTCCTTACCTATCTGCAGACAAAATCTCTCCGAGGAGCCTACTCACCTCAAACCCCATTTGCTCATCAATATGCAATTTAAATTACTTCAATAACATATAATTATGCAGACTGTATTGAAGGCATGAATACTGCAGTTTGCGACCTTTTGTTTTTGGTTTTATTTTGGGGATAATAACTTCGCCGAACATGTTGCGAAGATATTTTGTGTGGGATTTAGTGCAACTGATCATGATACTGTTTATTAACATTTTCATAATGCACGTCCGACCCACACTTTGAGAGATATTTTGCAGATATTAGCTAGCGAACGCAGATTAATTTCAGACCTTGAAATATATCATTGTTTAAGTAACTCCAATTCCAGAGAGCATCACGTGACGTGCTTGAACTTGAGTGAAATATTCTCATTTTATAATACTCCTATCTTCACTTTCAAATTAAGAATACAATTAACCCCACAACCTGTTTTAATTTTTTTCCCTTTCCTCCAAATTGAATCCGTGAGCCCACCAGCTAAATATCAATCAGCTCGGTTTCATTATCTTTTTCTTCTTTCCTTTTGATCATTTTGAACACACTATAAAGATGACAAGAATCCTACGAAATTAAACCTTGCATTGGCAGGGGTAATTCCCGAAATATATTAAATTTAAATAAAAATTAAAGAACCTAACATTTTCCCAGTGACGGGAATCACTGAATCTATGGGTATAATTTGTTGAATAGTACTCATCCAGTCACTTTAATGTAAGATCTAATTTATTATTATTGGAAAAATAATTGATGGGGTTAATTTAAAAAAAAAAGATAAACATGTTAAATAAATCTTATACATAGGATTAACACCAACTTTTCAATTAGGTCCTACGTTAAAGATGATAGGAGTATCAATTAGAGGTCATCATGGTTGGTTAATTTTTTTCGCCTGGTTGATTTATGATCAAGTAAATTTGAGATGGGCGCGGAGAATTAATATTGCTGTTGAGGGATCTTGGACTTGGAAATCTACTGATCTCTGTGTGTGTGTTCATTTAATTTAGTCATTTTTTCTTGTTCCCGGCATCTCGATTGAACGAAAGAGTACAATTAACGGTGCTACATTAATTACATTACAGAGTAGGACAAAAAAGTGTAATCATATGCCCACCTTATTAGTACATGTATGTGAGCGAAAATTCGACCAATTAGCTATCACAATAACTCAGTACTCAGGATGGGAAAAATAAAACACACAATGGATAATGATGCAAAGCTGATTCTTTGTTGATAAGTACTACAAATTGTAAAAAGAAAGAACAAAAGAACACTTCAACAAAGTAAAACTGCTCGGCTCCAACAACGACTCTTGTGTAAAAGGCGTGATGTACTGCGAGGGAGAAAACAATTAACATTGAAAATTAAATTCTATATTTTGCAAAAACTAAACAAATGATCTGTGTGCGTGTGTGTGCGGATCTTTATATACTTTTGAAGCTTTTTCTTTAGTTTCCCTTTTAGGAAATTTATTGATTACAATCCCACAGCTAGAGGCAACTAAAAATGCGTGAAATAAAGGCTAAGCTTTTGAACCGAGTGAACGTGTTGGCTTTTTGATGTGCGGAATTAGTAATTAGTGAAACAACACGAGAAGGCATGTGAAAGAAATTAAGTTGCTGTCTTGCCAAGGAAGGAAAAATCTGAGGAGGAACCAGAATGATGCAGTCAAACGGTCATTGCTAGGTGTTTTGAGAGTTTCTCTGACGGAAAGAATATAAAAGTGGGGGAAGCCATCATGTTGATCTGCGATGATGATCTGGTTCTGCTAATGGAGCCTTCTGGTTCAAAATTTAAAGACAGTATTGCACAGAGTGACGCAGAGAGAGAGAGAGAGAGAGTAAGACACGCAGAAAACCAACATCCCTTGCTTCCAAAAGAAGTTAATTTGCGGGACGTGTTACTGTTACTGTGCCATGAATAAAATTAGTTATCTTCTTGAGCGTCCCCATTTTACAGTATATTTTAAATCCCATCACCTGCAGCCTGCCCCGCCTTCTTTAAATGTTGCTCCCATGGAAAATCGAGCTGCCTTTGTTTGATTTAACACACACCACCTTGATGTTAAGACCGACACGATAATAAAGTTTTCAATGTTCTGAATCTGAGCCAAAATGGCCCTCCTTTTAAGAACAGATCTTGTTTCATTAGTTTTTTTTGGTTTTCAATTTATTACCAACACTTGGGGATTATCATCTGCTGTACATTAATGCATCATCAATATATATACTAACTATGTTTATATGTGCAAATCTCGTTTATTTCCGCCATATTAAAAATCTCAGCAGACCCCTACATTTCTCTCTCTTTCCTGTCCCATTTGGAGTCATTCTTCATGCTCGTATTCAGTTCATTGTTCATGAATGTATTTTTTTCGCAAGAACGCAGGTCAAAATCCGTTCTTGATTAAAAACAGTGCCTTATAGTCTCACGATCGACTTTGTTTAATCTTATATGAGAAGGATGAATGAGTCAGAGCACCGTGGCCGATAGGCGCAAGAAGAATAGCAAGTAATATTATTGAAGCATTAAAAGATTGATTAACAGGGAGAAGTGAAAGAAGGCCTTTGTTTAGGAATCCAGAAATGAATCCCACTCGTGTACGTGAAGAAGCTAAGGGTGATATTATACATTTATTAGGGAAAAAAGAAAAAGGAGTTAAACTGATGGTGCGTGGGCGTGTGACCGACTTTAAATTAAAGTTGAAAGTAATCAAGAAAAGAGTGTGAAAAGTTAATTAGTAAAGGGAGGGAAGAGCGTAAAATATTAATTGGAGTTTAGCCTGAGGGATCTGCCGCAGCAGACGATATGTAAATATATTAACATGGAATTAAACAAAACAACTGGAAACCAATTAATGAAGGCTGAAATTGTCGTTTCAAGTGCGGAATGCAAGTTGCGGTGCAGATAAGCCTTCAACTCAACATTTCAACATGGATCCGGCTGACTGCACATGTACGTACGGATATACATGTATTCTCTCTCCCTCCCTCTCTTTATATATATATAGAGAGAGAGAGAGAGAGAGATGAGTGTGACAATAGCTAGTAAGAAAATATTAAGCCAACAATATGATGATACATTGGGGAGGACTCATTAATTAAGAAGTGATTTGACTAGACACCTACAACAACACTAGGCTTTCCTCTTACACACCCCCCTATATTCTTAGTGTTTCTAAAACTGGATCATTAATAATAAGCAACTGGCTAAACAGATCATTGTTAATTGAGCAGGACCCCTGACCACAACAATATAATGTTCCCAGTGACGTGCAAGTTGAGCCAAATTCACGACCACCGTCCCTTCTTTCTCTGACATTTCAATTCACATAACCTCATCATGCGCGTCCACAAATAACCAACCCCCCCCCCCCCAAAAAAAATCAACAAGAAACAAATTTAAGAGTAGGGATAGGAGTGTATGATTAATTAGAATTGATGTTCACTAGTTCACAGGAAATTAGATACACTGCATGCACGTCCACAAAATTGTTCTATAACATATATTGCTCGCGGCAGCACTGAAAATTTGATGGTTCGAGTATGACATGACATTACATCTTTATGTGAATGATTATCCCCCAATTATTGATTGACACATATCAACCTTTGTCCTAGTTGGACTCGTGGGAGCCAGGTTACGCCCGTCAACACCTGCCCTTTGATGTTTTGTTTTCTGCTTTTGTTGTTTTAACCTTTTAATTTTTACTATGGGAATGAATACAAAACCAGTCGCCCCTGCCCTGTTTGTTTTATGCGTCGTATTTGACGTGTAGCTATTTCTGGGATATTTTTCTTAAGGCCGGACTTGGCCCATGACAATTTATTTCAAGCCGTGGTTTTAATCAAATTTAGCAATGCAAGCAGTTTAGCGCGTTGTGACAAAATTAAGGTTAAAAGTTAACAACAAGCTATTGATTGAGATGATGATGGTTTCACTCTCTTAAAAAAAACACAAGTTCAAATCTTGAAAAACGTACTTATTAGGAAGGCTGTTCCTTAACCACTACAAGATCCAAAGGAAATAGTCTGAAATACGATATGATTTGAGGATACCCTTGTTGCATATAAAAAAAATTTAAGGTCAAGAATTCAATGGGAAGCGGCGGTGACGTGGCTTGTTTTGCTGGGGCGGGATGGCTATCCATTGCATAAAGTTTTGTTTTGTGTGATTAGTAATAGTACACCCGTTTCCTTAGCCACGCACACAACTAAACATGTACGTACAAAAATAAAATTAAGAATTAGCCAACTGCCAAAAAAGGAAAGGCCTTTTTGTTGCGGGCAATTTTGATTCAATCATACTCAGAACATAATTATTATTAATTTGCAGCACATTATTTTAAATTTTTATTCAGCTTGTGAATATGCATAAATAGAACAATATCTCGGTTATATATGGGTGGCTATGAATGATAAATTGGTACTCCTCTGGTTCTTAATATAAGACTCAATATTAGAGTTGGTTTTGATTCTAAATATAAGACCCATTTATCATATTTATCAATTTTCTCTAAATTACTCCCTCAACTATAATTAAGTAGAAGAAGGAGAGGGGGTATTAAGAAAGATGATTATAGTGTTTTAGGAAAAATATGTCACTTTTCTTATAATTAATTAACTTACCTAACTTTCTTATTCTAATCAAATTAGTTAAATGGGTCTTATATTAAGGACTGGAGGAGTAGTATATATAAATGCTGAAAATCACAGATGATAATGGGATTGTGTTCAGCATTGGCTTGCAACATAAACAATAGTAATAAGTGGTCCTTCGAGAAATGAAACTAAATTAAACAGCAATAGAGTTTTGATGGTGGGAGTGTTTTAATTTTCTCAATTCTGGAAAGAACCGCAGTAAACAACAGGGCTTGATTGGTGCAGTTACGTTGTTGTGTTTTATTTTAATGCAAGGAGTACTATGCTTCTATGGTGGGGGGTTGTGTACGCACCTCAATTATTAAATTTTAAAAGAAAAGACGCACCCATCGGCAGGGAAGGACGTGCCCCCTCTGTGGATTCACAAACTAATATCCAGGTGTCATGTAATTATTTTGTCCACCCACATTGTTTTTCTCTTCTTTTTAAATAACCCGCTCCACAGTCAAAAATGAAATCAACAACCTGCTAGCACGTCGTTCATCTCTTTTAATTCTTGCGATATCCTCGTTCGGTTCTTAGAATCGATCATTCATAGATAAAATTTTTGTGCGTAATAGGTTTTTTTTTCTTTACAATTTCTAAAATCAAAGAATACATTTTCAATAATTTAATACCATTTATTTGCGATAGATCTGTATGAAAAATATTTCAGATAATAATTTTGTGGGGGGGACAAGATTAAAAACTCATTTATCATAAATCCAATTAAAAAATGAAAAGAAAGTAAAAATAATATTGAAAATATGAGTCTCAAATTAAGACTCCAAAATGATGTTTTAGCGAGTAAAATATCAGGATATTAGAATAGAGTATATTTTTGCTGATGATTCTAACGAATACATTCACTTGCAAACCCTGTGATGAACAGGTCTCATAGGTCAGCCGTAATCACTATTCGTATTGAAGGGGGAAATAATGGTTTCAAACTCAAATTAATAAGTTAATTATATTTTTGACGGTTAATAAGTTGATTATTAATGTGCAAGAACTTTAAATCATTTTATTAGACTTTTTTTTTATAAAAAAAAACACTATTGGTCAAAATGACCCTGGAGATGAAAATCTACAAGTTTTTTCAACAAAATCTTGATAGTCATATATACACTTTTTTTTTCCTGGGATTAAACTGAGATTGTAATTCGAGGATAATTTTGTAGAACAGATGTAACGCGCCATCTGAGGTTTAGAACAAACCGTTACAGTCAGAGTTCCCTGTTTAAGCGAGGCTAAACTCAATTATTAATGACGTTAATGATAATAACGTGCGGGTAATGCCAGCGTGGCGGGAGTGAAGAGTGCAAGGCACGAGTCCTTTAGGCGGCTGGAATAGGTATGTCTGCAGGAAAAAAATAACGGAATTATGAAAGGCGGCGAGTTCTAGGCTGCTGACCACGTTAGTTATAGCCGTAAAAAGTTAAAAAAATGCATGGATTTTAATGGCGGGGCAAAAAATCGAAGCTCAAAAGCTTTTCACCCCCATCAAAAACTACTGACTCCCTCGCTCACCCCACATTGCGCTGCGCGTGTTGGTACTTCTTAGCCCTCAGCGGCCGCCAAATATTAAATGATCTAAACATCCCAGTGAATCTCATTCATCCATGCTCTCCCCATCAGGAAAAGATTACTACCGCTTTTGATTAGTCAAAGAGTGATTTGACCCCCTAACCTTAAGGGACCGGGTATCTTGGGTCTCACGTGACTGTCATCACGGTGTCCGAGGTTGGATTCATATGATTGCTCGCCACCGTCGGATGCTGCCTCATTGGCCCAGATCTCTTCTATGGGCCCCGTCCTAGCAACGTGTCCCCATCGCAAGGATGCGGCTGGTCGTATCATAACGCCCCTGCTCCATCACCGGACTAGAGATTTCCCCAACCCCGCTTCCTTCTCTTCTCAACAAAATCACCTTCAATTTCAAAATGAAGCGAACGAACCAAGGGGTGGCAGTTCTTTTACTATTATTTATGTTTATTATTATTTATACTCACATTAGAGAGACACGAAAGAAAGAAAGAGAATATGATGAATATTATATTATATTATAATAGTCTGATATTGCGAGCGTCCTCATTTGGGATGTTGGATCCTATAAAAGGGCGATTTCGGTGCTCCGGTCTCCACGGCACCTAAGGTGTTTTTCGCCAAGCGCTTGTTTTACTCGCCGACCCAGCTCCACTAAGTCTCCAAGAATCTGCATACTTTTTCCTTGTATTTTCTCAGCTCTGAATCCCGAGATATCTCCCGTTAGCCCTGATTCTCGTGCGAAGTTTCAAGGGAAGAGTCGGCCATATATAGTCGCTGAACCATTTAAGCCCTTTCACTCCGCCTTCGAATTTTGAGGAACCTCCGGCGTCATCTTCCTCCGCCCATGATGTGAAAAAGCTCCTCTTTTCTCTTTATTCCTATCACTCTCTCGCTTTACCATCTCCATTTTTAATACTATTTCTGTAGCTTTTGTCCTTCCCACGCCCACCTTTGCACGTCTTTTTGGCCGATTTCTGAGCATAATACCTTTGGAGTGCTCATCATGAATTAAAGCTTCTATCTTCTTCTTCACGATTCTCTTTTCATTCCTGAGGTCGGCCCCTATTTGTTTCGCCAACATTTGACTCTTGTTTGCCACAGCACAGAAACACAAAAATCATGGAGCAAAGCATCCTATGCAAATACACAGTGCATCACAGTGTTACCAAGAAGCTCGCGAGGCCCAAGGGCTCTGATTTGAGCAATCCCACAGAGCCCCGAGTCGTACGGATATCCGTAACTGATCCGGATGCCACAGACTCCTCCAGCGACGAGGAAGGAGAGTTTCTGGGTCGACCCAGAGTGAAGCGGTATGTGAACCAGATTGACATCGAAACTAGCGCGAGAAACGGGGCCCTCCTCAACAATGCCCGGAAGAGGCCCGCCGGGAGCACCGCTGCTTGCCGTCGGCCGGCAAAGGTTTCCACGGCCAATAACGGCAGGAAGTTCCGAGGCGTGCGGCAAAGACCATGGGGGAAATGGGCGGCGGAGATTCGAGATCCAGCGAGACGAGTACGGCTCTGGTTGGGGACGTATGATACGGCAGAAGAAGCAGCCATGGTGTACGACAACGCGGCGATTAAGCTGCGAGGTCCCGATGCTTTGACGAACTTTGCTACCCCACCGGCGAGGGAGAAGGCCGAGGGGGAAGAAGTAGAAGTGACCGTGAAGCCGGAACTGAAAGTTTCAGTGCAGTCAGAAGCATCCGGTTCGGGATACGATTCGGGAGAGGAGTCTCATAATCTTTGTTCCCCGACATCGGTGCTTCAATTCAGGAGCAATTCGACCGAGGAAGCAGAGCCGGGAAAGGCTACGGAACCATGCGTAGCAGAGGCAGAAAGAGAAGAAACAGGGGAAGAGCCGTCTGGGGAGTGTGAAGGGGAAACAAGTCAAAGGAGGTTGTGGGAGGAGGAGGAATATTGGAGGATAGAGATGCCGGTGTGGGATGATGTGCTGATGAATTTTGAAACGCCAGAATACTCCCCGGTGATGTGGGAAGAACCGTCGCCGTTGTACTGCGAAACAACTGCGCGGGTTATGGCGGAGGAGATTGGAAGCGCGGGGGAGACAGATTGGGAGAGAATGTACTCGCCATCAGGGATGTGCCAGGTGGACGATTTCTTTCAAGACATTTTGTTGGGGTCAGATCCTCTGGTGGCGCTCTGAGACTGACACTGTCACTCTCTCACACACTTACCCCCTGCCGCCGTCCTCCCCCTGCTGACTCACTCCGCAGATTTTGTTCCGGTGGCAGAATCCGTTGCTTTATTTTTTCGTTTTCCTACAAAATATGAGTTTCTTTTCTTTTTTTTTCCCAAGTTCGTCGCGGCCAGATTTTGTTAAAATTACTTGAGTGATGCCTAATAATCAGGGCTGTTGGAGAATGTAAGATATGACCCCCAGATGTAATATGGACTCATGGAAGTATTTTTGTCGGGCTACGTTGTTTCCTTTTGCGCACAGGACCATTAAGCTAAACGCCGTCAGAATTTAGTAATTAGTGTATCGGTTGGAGATTCCCTGGGACTTGGGAAAAAGAATTGAAACAGAGTCTGAATTTGTATTGCGATTGTGACTGCGGTTGTGAATAAATAAAAACGAGATAAATATGTGACACAATTTTTTTTTTTTTGAAAAAAAGGAGGAGGCGTAGATTGCGGAGGATGGGGAGGGCGATGTGAATGGGCAGAGTTTTGCAACTGGTAATGGGAAAACGAGGACCAAAACCACGCCCTATAAGCACAACCACCCGCCGAAGACCCTTTTTACGTTGGCATCTCTGCCGCTCCACTTTATTATATATATTTCTCACCCCCATATTTCACCACTCTCTCCATATATAATCCATTCTCGTTCACTAATGTTTGCCCGCTCTTAATTTTATATTTATCTCCTCATCCTCAATATAATCCCACTCCTGATTAGCTCACTAATATTCATGCGATTTTATATCTTTGATCCCAAGTAGTCATTTTTCTTCTCTTACAATCTTAATTTCTATCAGTAACGGCGATTTTATATCCAAAGTTTATCAACCTGCCTCCAGTGTCACCCTCCATAAACGGCGATTTTATTTTGGGTCCATCCCAAAACCACGTGTCGCAGGTGCATTGAAAATTCAACTGAAACAGATATATTGTCCGTCCAACTCGCTGGACTTTCGACTGTTGGAAAGTTTGTCTCCTTGATTTTATTGCTTTTTCCAGTATGGGGTGCGATTTCTAAATTTCCATCATAAACGACATTTATTACTGTCTTAAATCCAATTATTAAGATACCTTAGTTATATGTTTTATTTTCAACAGTCGGCGTACAATCGGTCAGCGCCAAGAAGAAAATGTGAATCAAATACGTTGAGGGGTTTGTATGCGAACCATGCGAAGCAATTATCTCTTCGTGTCTTTCTCTCTCTCTCTGTTTTTTTTTTTTTTTGTGTGGACCTTCCCCTCTAGTGTTATATATATTGACTTAGCATGATGTTCATGAATTAGGTGTGTACTGTGTAGAATTAATTGGGAAAACACAAAACCACCGGCTATCGTGTGGAATGGGGGCAAAGGGGAAACTTGATATTGACATCTATGAGTGTATGCAGGTGAAGATTCCTGGGAACCCCCCCGCTGTTGCTGGCAACGGTTCAATCATTCCTCTGAATTTACATCCTTCCAAATTTTACATCAATTAAGTGGCGAGGAAAGCGTGGGAGAACGGAGACGAAGACGAGAAAAAGAAAGTGGTGAGAAATTAGGTGGGCGTAGGGAGCGATGAGGCCTTTGCCAAAATGTTTGAAGGTGGGCACATGCTGTGTCATCCATGCAGTGTTTCGGTTTTGTCACCTCGCCCAGTTGCACCCTATGTGAAAAGGCCACGTTCCTGCTCCTCGGGTCCCCCGCCAGTCTCATTCATGCCCCTGCCCTCCCCGTTTCTACACGCTCTCAAAGTCGTTGCCTTTTCATATTCCACACGCACCTACTTGTCTAATGTGTCTCCACTCCCTTCGGTTCCCCTCCCCAGCACGTTGGATCCCCTCACTGCACGCTCACTTTAATTTCCTCACTCCTCTTTTACCCCAATTTCTTTGATCATCACCAGCCTCTGGTTCGCAAGAAACATAAGGTTTATATATTGTATCCCTTTCTTGAGCTGGAACAAATATTCTCTCATCAGTTTGGTTTGAACTAAAACCCCAAATAGTGATGAGATCCCGCATAGTGGAGTCTCTCGAATTTGATGTGTTTAATTAATTTGGTGAGGGTAGGGAGGAGAGCGGAGCGGCCGGGGGGCCAAGGTGTACGGAAATTACAGTGTGGCAGGCCAAGGGAGAAAAAGACAGAAGAACACGCGACGTGGGGAAAAGAGAAATATTTAGAAAATGACCCTCTCATAATTGTTGACCATACGTTTCTCCACATTCCACAGATTATGTAGCTGTCACCCGCTTGTTATGCATATCTGTATTTATAGCCCTGTATTCCCCGTGACCCTTTTCCTGGTTGTGGAATTCGTATCCTCTACATGCTTTCTCAATTCACCCTGCCACTTCATTCTTTTCCATCCACAATGCTAACAGCAACTGCCAATAGCAATCACATCCCTGTTATATTAAGGGCCTGCTTGTTTTAGCGTTCCAATCAAACTGTTATTGCCTGTTTGATTGGACCACGTGAATGGAAATTACATGTAATCCTAATGCATCCCTGCATTTCTAATGTTTGGTTGGTCCAAAACAATGTAATGGGCATTATATTCTCAAATTCAGTAATACGGATTACATTCAAAAACTTATGCAATCCCCATTACCACTGCTCAGAATCCACTCTTGACTTTTCTACCCTTCATCCTCGTCATGGTGTGGCTTCATCTTTCGAATCACATCGAAAACAATCTTTGCTTGCATGCTTCTCCTCACCGCCGACAGCCACCATTGGCTACATCTTATAGTCTAAAGTAGAACCACATCGTCCTTGCGTATTTCTTATCCAAAAAGAACTCGCTCGAATTTGAAGACCACGATTGCTCTTCTAGATTCAAACCCAAAATTTTTCCTATTCAAAATCTAAAGCCATGATTGTTATTTTGTTCTCGGCCGACAATGGACAGGGGGGGAGGGCGTTGGGTGACTGGAAGAGAGTTTTCTCTGCTAGGGATATTTTTGTTCTTGCACTCTTACTTATATTTAATTGAATTAAAAAATTAAATTCCATTGTACAGCGAACCAAACACAGTCATGCAATGCATATTGCATTACATTCCATTTCATTTCTGCACATTCAATTAACCAAACAGGCTATTACTGTATGAGCCCAACACAGCATTTAATAAATGAATTTACAAAATAAAGTCAAAATTAGATGGCCTTGATATGGTACTATCTCCGGTCCTAATTATAAGAGCTAGTTGACTAATTTGAGAATATTAAGAAAGAAGTTAAGTTAGTTATTTGTAATAAAAAGGTATTTCTTTCCTAAAATATCCTTATTAATTAAGTATACTGGCTAAAACTATCATTGTTAGAAGGATTACTTTGGGAAAAAATACATAAATATGAGAAATAAAGTGAATTGGAGTCTTTTATTTAGGACCAAAATAAAAATCAAACAAGATCTTATATTAAGGACCAGAAGTAGTACTAAACATTTCTAAAATTAAAGTCATTAAATAGAAAAGTAGGAGAGCTTGTTGGTCTCAATAAGTAAAGGGCAGCCGGGTAAGTAAAAGGGGCACAGAAACTTCATTTATGTTTTCAGAAAGCAGCAAGTTATGGCGCAGCTTAAGGCCCTCTCCTTATCATGTACTACTCGCAGTGCTTAGTCCACTGTCAACACTATTGCGCCTAGCCATATGCACGACAACAACCTGCTCCAAATCATCACTCTATCATTGCCCTCGTTTTAAAATAAAATCATATATAATTCTCATTATTATTATTATTATTTTTCCTGTCCTGGTTTCACCGTAATGTCTCCCATTTCACGTTAAGTGACGTTTTAAATAAGTTCACCGCTTACCTCAATTTACTCTGTGTCCGCCAGATTTTGTACTGCTCTGCCTCTGTCTCTGTCTCGGTTGGTTTTCACTTTTACTTCTTATAACTGCGGCAGCTTGGCGGAAGTTGGGTGCCATGAAAAGCTTTACCCCAACACTTCAGAAGAAAAGGGGTTTGCTGGTTATTGAATTAGGAGTTGATGTTTTTGGTGAACTATTAAATTTGTAACAACGACCCCTTTTGTTTTTACCTTTATTAACTAGCCATCCACCCATCCCATCCCATCCCATCCTCAGCGATAATGCTCCTAATCCCCTCACCGTCCGATTAGTCCGATGCTGATTATTAAAGCGTTTCTGGCCCTCTGTTCCAATTGCTGTGCAGAAGCACGCACCTGTAGTGCTTACTAAATATATAGGACACTGTTCTTTTTCTCGCCCATGCCCCCTCCAAACAATAAATTAATTAATTAACTATTTCAATAAATAATACCCCCGGCATTTTTGGTTTCAGAACGGCTTCTCATTCCTTGTTGGGCTACACCGTGACCGACTGATGACGGTGATGACGATATTTTGAATTATGCGCATACCATGAGAAAATGCCAACAACGGTAACTAGAACAACAAAGAAGAGTAACGCTATAATTATATGTACTAGCTGGCAGGCTGAGTCTCGATAGAGAAATCACATTTCTGCTACTGGGCAAACAGACAGTAGTGGTTGCCGCGTATTTTGAAGCTCATAAGCCTCAATGAATTACACTGATGAACATATCAAGACAGCCTCGCACATTAGAAAACTGCCAAAACTACATTAAATACTGCTAGTCTAGGAGCAAATAGGCTAAAGGGAAGAGCGCAGTGTAGGGTACGAACCGTGTTCAGCTGTTAGCTTTTAAAAGGTACTTGTTCACTCATGCGTGCAGCAAAGACCGATAATCTCATTTGTGGTAATTACAAAGTTTCTCTGAAATATACAATTGAAATGGTACGGTGGCTTATAGTTGATGCAATCTAAAAGGGACAGCAGGCCACTTGTAGCAGTAGACGACTGCAAACGACGCCCATTTGCAGGCTTTTAAATGCAGTTTTGTTCAGTAAAATTACGATCCAAATGAAATCAATCCAAGCCAACTTGCACACACGTAGACACACTGCCGTGTTCAGTGACAGAGCTGAGAAGAAATTGAGTGAACAAAGACAACATTGAGCTGCTAAATGCTGGTGTTTTATGCCTCCGTCTCAGCCACCCCTTGTGACGTTTCAGGACAAATTTCGGTTGGTCCCCCCTGCCCTCCCGTGTCGTGTCTCTTTCTCATATGCTTTCAATCCATCCTTTCTTCAAAAACCAAGTAATGTCAATGTATAGGTTAACGTTTAACATGACCTATATATTCTCAAAACCATGCATGCCACAAACAACATATACACCCTCGCTCCTCTTCCTACTAGACACATTTTGACAAGGTTTGAGATATATTCTGGTTTGAACGACATATGTGTCCTTCACTGATTGCTATTCATCAGCCTATAAAGAATTCAAGATTAATATAGTATTATTGGATTATATATACAGTGGCGGCCCGGATTATCTTTGCATCAACACAACGAGTGAGCACGAGAGAACAAAACGAGAATGTGCCAAATGATAGAATAATTAAAGATAAAGACTGGGCTTCCTCATCCCTTGTGAGATCACCGGCTCACGTAGGTTGGTCCCCCCACGCGCCCCTGCTCTCCAGCAGCATCATTCACTACATACCAGCTGCTGCAATTTGCTACGCTCTTTTTCTTCCAAATCCAAACACTGCCTTCATTAACAACAACAACTTGGCGGACACTGCTTGTCCACGTGTTGGCTTGGATTGTATGAAATCCCCTCCAAAAGTCCCCCGCGATTCTGTTGGGACCCACGAAATCTCCTCCATGTTCTTTTCTTCTTTTTTTTTAATGCTTTTTTTAGCGAAATAAAGATATGAAACCGATTCTCTCTCTTCCTCTGAACAGATCGAATACTTTTATCCCATGGAGCGTGTGTAATGTTATGTAAGTGCATTCCGATCGATGAACAAATGGAGGAAGACAGGAGCACGTGAAATACGCATGGGATTTCTGTAGTAGTTGCAATTCAATTCCCACATTATAATCAGCCCAGAAAAGAATTGCCGCACTATAAGAGGGGCGTCGACGTGGCAGTGAGGGGGTGAGTCGCATGGCGATCATCAGCAGACACGTGGCAGAATCTGGGAGTCAACATCAGCCGCCGACAGGGTTTGGGAGTGGTTGAGGCGTTGATTTGAAGGTTCATGTGATGGCAGACCGACCAAAACCTGAGACCCTCCACGCGCTCCCACTATCTGTAATTCAGGTCTCCAATATATGCATCATCGGATGAATCAAATGTGATTTCGACATATAAATAATGTTGGATGAAGTAGAAAGAGATTTTTTTTTTCGGGAAAAAAGAAAAGGGCAGTTAAAATGCGGCCGAACATAAAACCTCCACTGGAACAGAAAACATCGATGACCTTTGGAATAAAAGGATGAGAAGACAGGGAAAAGTGATTTTTGAAACGTACCGGTACGTGCATGCACCGGGCATCCAATGGCAAGCGAGTGAAGTAGATAACTATGCGTGTTGACATGTGCTTCGTGCTTTTACAACTCAGCGGTTTGCCTTGCATAGTCAAAAGGTTATGAAAGACAAGAGAGATGACCAAAACTTTCCGACATTAATCCCATCTTTTGATCAAGTAATGATAATCGATCATGAAGGCATGTGTGACCCCAGTTGCGTTTTAATTTCAACGCTTGTGGTCCCTGCTTGATTGACACAAACGAACTCGTGTTTCGGTTAAGGCGTCCAGATCTTGTTGGATCGGAGGTGGCCCATTTTTCATGATTCTCCTGCTTCCTTCGCCTTCTATCTATCCTGCTTCACTCTGCTCAACTAAGCTTTTATGCATTTTACAAGTGTTCACGCTTCACATTTTCATTATTGCTTACCAATTATTACAAACCTGCCGTGGTTTGTCAAAATCCATTTAGTCCCTTGGCTTTATACATAGCTTCGTTTTCAATGATTTCATGGTTTCCCAAGCAAAATGCTCCACACTCTTTCATGTGGCTTACGGGCCAGCTACTCAGATCTGTCCCTGTCCACAAAGTTGTGGCCTTCTCATTTTGGGGGTCCATGCAATATTTCGGTCTTATTGCCAGTGGACTTACTGAGATCCTTACACATCTCAGGCCCAAAATGCCTCCCATCATCCTTCCGATGCCGGATTGATCACTGATGATCAACCAACAGACCATGAATTCAAATGGCATCCATCTCCTGACCGCCCTGTATGGTAATAAGGACAGCTTTTATTCCCTTAGTTTGTTTTTATTTTTCAAAGTATAACATGATGAGGTTATAATGAGTTTTGATTTAATAATAACAAAGCGGTAAGAAATTATTTGTCATCACATAAATTCTTGATCTTTGGCCCTCTGGATCATATCTTTCTGTATCGCATTTGAACTGTGTGTCGTAATTTTAATTGCTCTCCTCCTTGGGACCAAAGTTAGTGCTAAAGAGGAGGATCTATATATACGCGGATGAATATGGGGCCGTCGAATCAACTGGACGAAGGAGACCGAGTACGGAGAGCTGTACGGAGAAGGAATATGAAAATGATCAAAATTCAAATTACAGGATGGGATCCAAATTCCGGGGCAGCCCTTATTTGCGAAACGTCAATATTAATATATTTCCAGCATAATTATATTAAGGTCATTCCGAAACTGTTGCGTAATTAAGGCCACATCATTGGAATCACGAGAGACTGTCACTTGGATGGTCTGACTAATTGATTTATGTGCGGCCCTTTCTTATGAATGAAGCCGACGGTCTGACCAAAAAAAAAAGAATGAAGCCGACGGATCAATCCTTGGCCAAAGTCTCGGAGTGAGATCCCTGCTCGCGAGTGACCCCACTGGCGTTTGGCGATAGAGTGGGTTCGGCTTCTTTCCCGTCCTCTCCGGAGATTTCCTCAAGAGACCGCCCTTTAGGGCCTGTTTGGTTTGAGGGGAAGGGAGGGAAGGTTTCATCCTCCCCTTGTTTGGTTTGATTAAAAAAGAAGGGAGGGGAGGGTATTTAATGATTCCTTGTTTGGTTCAAGAAGGGGAGGAGAGGGATAGTAATAATCAATTTACCATTTTACCCTTACATATTAGTTTATGTTTTTTATTGATATATTATATAAATTAATTTACATCTTAATTTAAATTATATAATTTAATAAAAATTCAGTCTTATCATGTTAATATGTGTATTAAAAAATTGGTATAGTAATTTTTTATTCTAATTAATATAATAATATATTTAAAATAATTAAATTAACAAATTTTATATGCTATAAGAAAAATGAAATTTTATTTTCTTTAGGCTATCTTTTTTTCCAGCTTTAAAATATATTTAATAAATAATATATTTATAAAAAACAATTAATTTTATAATATTATAATTTTTTATTTAAATATTTTTTATTTTTAAATAATTTTTATAATATATTTTAATTATAATAATGTATATATTTTTTATTTTTTTACTTAGGATAATATATTTTTTATTTGAAATAAATATTATAATAATATATTTTATGGGTAGAAGTGGAATATTAAAAAAGCCATAAGGACATAATGGTCCAAAATTTTGGCTCCCCTCCAAAAACCCCCAATTTGGAGGGGAGCCAAAATGGGAGGAGGGAGAGGAGGGGGACATTTTAGCTCCCCTCCCCTCCAAAATTTTTAACCAAATGAGGGGAGGGGCTCCCCTCCCCTCCCCTCCAACCAAACACACCCTTAGGGTGTGTTTGGTATGAGGGATTTGGGAGGGAGGGGAGGGATTTTAATCATTTCCCTTTGTTTGGCAACACACAAATTTTAGGAGGGGAGGGAAAATTTTTTAAAATTTCCCCTCCCCTCCCTTCCTCAACCTCCCCTCCAAAATTGGGAGGATTTGGAGGGAAAAGGCAATATTTTGTCATATTATGCCTATATTTTGTCATGTTGTAACCATTATGTCTATATTTTGTCATGTTGTGACAATTATGTCCATGCCTTAAATAAAATAAGAGCCAAATTGTTCATATTAAAAAAAATTTCCCTCCCCTCCCCCTCTTTTTTTATAAATCCAAACAAGATAATATTAAAATCCTTCCATTCCCCTCCCCTCCCCTTCCCTCTATTAAACTCCCTCCCCTCCCCTTCCTCTCATTGAGCCAAACATACCCTAAATTTGGTTTCAGCCAAGAAAAAAGAGAGCCAGATCGAACCCCAAAAAGTTGGTCACCGCCAGTATCTTCATTGTCTTCTTTATCTTCCCCGTGTCCTCACCTTGCGTGAAATTCTGTAGGCCGAAAGCCGCCACAATCGCGTCGGCTTTTGCCACGCTCAGCACGTGACACGTGGACCTCACCCGCGTCGGAAACAGCTCTGTCGGCAGCAAGAACGTCGTGCTGTTCGGCCTGAAGTTAGTGAAAGAAAACGTGAGCCCATACAGCAGAGCGAACAAGTCTATGTTATTCTTCATGGCGTTGTATTTCACACTCACCACAAACATGAAAAACGACATCATGAAGAACCCAATCAGTTGGATCTTGAAACGGCCCAGATTCGGGAACGTCCCGGGCAGGGCGATCGCGAGCATGCCACGTGACGTCTCGTACACTTCCAAGCATTCATCATCTGAGGGTTCGGGTTGACTAAGCCCATCGTTGGGAAACCAGTTACGGCATCAGATTTAGACCATCTATGGATAGTCCAGATTTAATTAATTAATTTTTTATTTGTTTAAGATAATTATTTTAAGAGATATATAATATAAATAAAGATAATCTTTCAACCATTATTTTTTTTTAAAATAATTAATTCATTTTAAAATCTGCACCATTCAAATTGAAATCTTAATGATCAAGATTTGATAAATTTAGAATGCTCATCACAGTGATGAATACTGAAACTGATTTTTATAGTTGGAAATATGTCCTTTTAACTAATGATTTTAAGTAAGAAAAGTTACAGCGTATCAATAATCAATATAGAAAAAATTACAATAAAGTCCCAAAAAAATAATTCTTAAAAAGTCCTAATAACAATTGAAGGAGTTTGTAATGAGTAATGACAAGTTTTAGAATAGACAATTACAACTTTTGAGAGTTGTTTTGTAATTTTTTTTTCTTTTGAAAGATCTCATTGTGATTCTCCTATAGAAAAATATAAAATTGATATCCCAAATATATTATCTGCACCATTTAAATACAATTTCATTCGTCCATATTTGAAATCTTTAATTAATGATTTTAAGTAAAAAAATCTGTTTTTTTTTTTTGAAAAATTGACATTTGAGAAATCATCTTTACTTTAAATTAGATGTGGAGGTATGATACATCTAGGTGCTACTCTTTGGACTTTGGTTAGCATTGAAACTGATTCTGAGCAAGAGCAGATGTATCATTTTGTCCAATTTAAGAAAATTGTGAGAGAAATGAATGTCCACGTCCCAGGCTCTCAGTGAGGGAGCTCTGGAGATCATAACGTGATCACGTCAAGTTTTTGCAACGCAGCATTCAATTCACAGGTCTAATAACAAAACACTGCTCACTGCTTTGGCCGGCAGAGTGCAGTCGCTTATAAATTTTACAAGTCGGAAGCCATTCTTTGCTGCTGAATGATAAAGATAGAAGCTCTACCAGGTATATAAGCAAGCAGATCCCCAAGGACCCCAAGTTCAGGATACTCGCTCCACTGCAACAGTCCTGAAGTCTGTGGACTCTCTATTCCATCTCTCCTGCCAACTATTATCAGATCATACTCATACACCAACGACCTCACTATTAGTGCCGTCTCTGGCCCATCTTTCACCCTCTCTTCTCTGTACTTCACGCTTGCTCCCCCTATCTTTTGCTTCACCCTTACCTCCTCCAGTATCTCTGCCTCCAGCATCCTGTTCCAGTCTTTGATATCCTTTCTCTCTTCTTCGCCGTTGAATCTTATCACTGTCAGCCTCACGTTTGGGTTCTTCGTCATTCTCTTTGCCATATGAAACGCTTCCCTGTCATCTCTCCCCCCGATGAATATCAAGCACACCGAGTAGGGTGTCTCCGGCGAGAATACGTGTGACATTTGTGCTCTCTCTATTAAGATTCCCACCGAGCAGGGTGCTCTGTCCAGCACGCTAAGGTTCAAATCTCTTATGGATTTGTCATCTAGCTCGATGCTGTTGCCGTCTGAGGACCATTTTTGGTGAAATGGGAGCACTATAAGGGAGGTCAGCTTATCTAGTGCCAAATTGCAAATGTCGTCGTTCATCATCTCCGCTGGCGATACCGCCGAGAAGACATTCACAGCTAATGCCCCGTTGAACTCTTGCTCAAAGCTCTCGAAAGCATGGATAACGTTGTCGATGAAGGTGCTCCTGGTTTTGGGCTTGTTCTGCAACTGGTGGCATATGAAAACAGGGGTCGCTCTGCCTATTAGTTCTATGAGCTGAAGTACAAAGACGCCGAGCGGCTCTTCTTTGGTCGGGTATATTGCCTCCAGAAGGTTGATTGCTACTGGAATATTTTCGGATCTGTGAATGCAAGTCAACACTCGAAACTCTGAGTTGCTTCTTAGATCCTCGATATTCCTCTTCGTGTAACCCGCGTATTTCTTTGAAGGATCGTACATATAACTTATCAGGATCGGCATGATCGTTGCGTTCATGACCATGCACAGCATCAAGAAAGAGAAGACGTTATCCGGTAAGCCCTGCATGATTCAGATTTTCCCCAAAATAAACAAAAGAAAAAAAAACTCAGTTACTCCAAAATTTGACATTTGATCGAGGAAGTTTCAGGAATCAACCAGGCAGAATAAGTTACGCACCATGATGTCTCTGATGAAGGAGCATGTGGCCATTTCGACAATGCCCTTACAGCTCATAGTGAGTGAGAGAGTCATGGCGTCTTTCCAGGGCATTTTACAGTACAAGGCAAACAAGAAGCAGGAAACCAATTTGGCAAGGAGAGTTATAACAACGAGGAGGAACACTTGTAGCATGAAGGTGTCAAGTTTTCCATCCGGCCTCCTACAGTTCATGAATTGCTGGAGATCCACCCTCACTGCGCATGTAGTCACGAAGAGCGGCATCAAAACACCAGTCACAAAGGCGTCGAGCTTCTTGATAATGGCAGTCCCCAGTGGAGGCCCTTCAGGGATGGCCAAACCCAGGATATAAGGCCAAAAGAGAGCCAAGAAATTGAAATGATGGGAGGCGTAGGATGATAACAGAGCCACTATAAGTATGCAATAAACGTAATGATCATTAACCGGACATCCGTCCGGTGTCCTTCTTATGATCCAAAACATTGAGGGGCGAAGGATGAACACGAGAAAAAGAATGAACAACACGGCAGCTCCCATATCTGCCAAGGCTCTCAGTTTTCCTACGACCATCATGTTGTTGCAGAAGCTAACCACGAAGGACAATGATATACCAAGCGTCTCGCTCACTAATGCTGACGACAGCCCTACTCGTCCCAACTCCGAATTCAAGATCTTCAGATCACTCAGCACGGAGGATATGACTGGGAAGGGCGCGATAGAACATATGATAATGATGAATGGGAGCTTTGCATACTGATTGGGTTCCAAGAATTTTGAGGACACGTAATATTGGGCCAGCATGCCGCAGGCAAACGGAGCCAATATGGCAACAGCTCCGACATTCATGGCCTTCCTTCCTGTTTTATGAACCACGCTTATGTCCGTCTTGACTCCAATATAGAAGAGGAACATGATGTAACCAAACACTGAGATTAATCCCAAGGTTTCTTGCGAATCAAAGGGGAACAAAATCTTCTCACCAGTTTTGCCGAAGGCATTTCCCAGGATTAAGCCTATCTGCGGATTAGTCATTCAGATAACCTGTTAATTTTAAGAAAAAGCTAAATGAAATTCAGGAGAGTCGGAAGAGATAGAGATGATGACAAGAGTGCTTACGATGATCATGGAAGTAAATCTAGGGAATCTTAAATGAGTGAGAAGGCTGTGGAAGAAGAGAGTCCCAAGATAAATGATGAACATTTGCATCTCCAGAGTTGGCAGGGGGCTATGGATGAATTCGCCTTGATGGCCTACCCACACGCCCCTGGAACTCGTCTGGGGCGGTAGAATCATGCAGGTTCTTTTGTACACTGTTGTGCCATTATTCTCCGGCGACATGCCTGTCTAGGATTATCCCCGGCTGTTGTTGCGGCAATTAGGGAGAAGGAATATGGATCCCGTGCTGAGAAATAAACAAAAGGAGAAATTTTATTGAAACTTCCTTTCCAACACATATAAATCGCATCGTGTTTTGTTTGTTTTTAATTAATGTGCGAATCTGTCAGTATATCAGTTTCATTCAGTTACCAGTTTTTGATAATTTTAGATAATGATAACTGTGTTGACTCTGTTTGAATTACTGGCGATGACAGACTAATCATGCGTGCTTCTAGATAAAATTTGGATGACAATTGAAAATTACTGTACAATTCGTTCTCAAAATAACATGAAAGTGCTGTATATTCCTCTCCCTCCCTCTCGTTTTTAATTTAGGAGCATCGTCCACGCACGAAATGTTATCAAGCATAATAGCTAGATAGATAATTCGTATGAGAGAACTTGCATATCATAAAATGCATCGGCTATATTTCAGAATAATTATTATTACAATTAAAAGCTTAAATTTAAAGTTTTCTAATTATATGTTTTATGTTGCAGATTTATAATGCAACCCATATTTACATACGTGCATATGGATAGAAATAAATGATAAATATAGAACTCGGGGCAAACAAATACTACATTCACTCTTTGATATAAGAGTATAAGACTCAGTTGACTATTTTGGAGAGATTAAAAAAGTTAGTTAAGTTAGTTATTTGTAATAAATAGATTTTTTTTAAATGTCCTTATTAATCATATGTGTTTGAGTTACAAATTGATAGTAACTCCTTAACATATATAACTATAATAGGGATTACTTGAAGAAAAAATGGATAAATATTGAAGACAATATAAATTTATGTATTATATTTAGAATCAAATTAAAAATCAAATTATATTTTATATTAAAAATTAGAAATAGCAGTAAATATAAACTAACAACCCATCTCTCTCTCTCACTGCTTCGTTTCATGTAACCTAAAAGATAAATTACCGTAAGAGACAACTGAGAGCTGTAAAAATAATATAAGATGCTTTTAGTATATTTTAAATTTTAGTAGGAGGTGTTGTGCAATTTTCTTCCATGTCTTTAGTACTTTTAACAGAAAGTTAATAAAACAAATTGAAAATTATAGGATGAATTACAGCGCAAGAGAATTGGTTTAGAATTGTGACGCGTGTGTAGCATTGGTGGGGGTGTGTGGTTTTTTTTTTTTTTTGGGCATTCAGTGTGGGGGTTAGGCACTGAGGCGGCGCAACTTTCTTCTTCCACGTGGTTGGCTTTCCACCCCCGCATCTCCTCATTCCGCTAAAACGGGAGTTCATGAAATTTCGCCTTTCGTTCATCCCAGGATTTTAAACGAAAAATTGGGGAAAAAATCTCTGCAGAAAATTTCAGCCCAGGGTCGGTAGTTTTTTTGGGGGAGATTGCAGTTCTTTTTGTTAGTTTCATTCCATTGGAGGTGAGAGACACTTGGCCAAAAAAACAAATTAGAGGTAACGAGATCCCAATATATTGATGTTACGTTTGGATTGATGCTTCGTGACTTCAAAAGTACCTTCTAATTAATTAGACTTTCAACAGGCATAATTTTAAAAAACATAATAAATATTTGAACCATACTTAAATCAAATTTTTTATATTCTGTCAAATTTTTTAATTATATATAACAATATATCTTATTTTTAAAATATTATATATCACTAAACTATAAACTCATATGCGAAAAATAGGACACATAGTTTTATGTAATTGAAGGATTTCGCACAATAAATATAAGAAATTTAATGCATTGGGCAAAAAAAAATGAAAAACATAATATAAATATTTTCTTTTTACAAATTCATATGGTCAGAAAATTAAAAACATAATATTCATCAGTTAATTTCATTCCATTCAATTAAAAAGTTTTAAAAATAATTTTACTTTGAAACAACATTAAGATCTGAATAATATAAAAAAGATAGATGTGCAATTTTATTTATGATTTTATATCCTTTTAGTTGAGCAGTTTTATTTATGATTTTTGGGCAATTTTACCTATAGTGTTTTTTTTATTATATTGCGGTCTTATCCATTTCTAAGCGCGCGCACGCGCGCACATATATATATATATATATAAAGATTACAGATAAAATTATAAAAAAAAATCACAAATAAAATTGCATCACATCTTTAAAATGTCGGCTAAACCTAACAAATAATACTCCATGGATAAAATTTCACCTTTAATCTATAAAAAATGCTTAAGCATTGCTTACTTGCCAAATCTAAAATGCTTAGAAATCATCTCGCATAAAAACAGTATTGTTGGAATTAGACTTATCAGTTCAGTTGACGGAGAAGTAAACTAGTGAAAAACCAATCAAAACCCATGACGATCAATTAAAATCGTTGAGAACCGTTGAAAATTTGGTCTTGAGTATAATTTTTCTTTTTCTTTTTAAATTCAGTAACTCAAAAGTATATTTTCGTGTCTTTATTTGTTTTTCCGCGGGTTTTTCCTTGATGTTAATAATAATTTATTGGTTATTCCGGTTAATCATAAAAGCCTGTGCTTAAACAATTAACCTGGCATAGTTAAGAATTTTGATCATCTATAGGAGCCAATAATAAATACTCCTCCGGTCCTTATTATAAGACCCAATTTGACTTTTTATTTGGTCCTAATTATAAGACCCAATCCATTTTCTCTCTTATATTTATGCATTTTTTTCCAAGATAATCCTTCTAATAATGATAGTTTTAGCCAATATACTTAATTAGCAAGGATATTTTAGGAATGACAACACTTATTTATTATAAATAACCAACTTAACTTACTTCCTTAATTTCCTCAAATAAGTCAATTGGGTCTTATAATTAGGACCGGAGGAGTACTTCTATTATAATGCGTGACCGATGATAAATTTAGCGTGCATGACAATTGACATGAATAAATATTTGTCCAAGATATCTGTTCATGCGCATCATACAAACCAAGACTTACCATACAATTGAATCTTGAACAAGCGCTCTGGCCAGTTAAATGTTCCGTCCAGTTTTGAAACATGGCCAAAAAAGTACAACAACGAGCTCCATTTATTTTTATTTGGATAGAAACAAAATCATGATTTTAAAAATAATTTTACAGTGTACGAAATAAATATGTGGATGATTTTATTTTGATTTACAAAAAAAATATTTTTGAGAAATATTTTTGTAGCTTTCCAAATACCTTTTTAATTTTCTATGCATACACACTAGTTCTTTTTTAGTACTTAATAAAGGGGCTCCTAATCCCCGCGCAAGTGGCGCCTTATTCTCCTCGCTGGCGGAGGAGAAAGCCCTAGAACCAGCAGTGGGAAAGGCAACGTCCAAAGCGATGCCTCTCTTAGGCTTTGTTTGGTTGGGATTTTTTTGAGGGGAGGAAAGGAGAGGAGGAGGGGAGGATGTGTTTGGTTGGGAGGAGAGGAGGGGAGGGGAGCTAAAAAAATTTGTCCTTTTGTGCTCCCCTCCCCTCCTCTTCCTCCCCTCCCAAATTGAGAGTTTTTGGAGAGGAGAGAAATATTATAAGAATCTTGACAAATATGTCCATGTCGTTTTTTGAATATTTCAGTGGTGCCCTTTTGATATTTTTTAGTTTCGCATGATTACCTTTGCATTCCCTTCCGCGGTGCTTAGTTATACACACACACAAATATAATATGCATATATGTTAATATATTAATTAATTATATATATTAATATATATTATAATTATAAAATGACACTGTTAATATCATATATATTTTTTATTTCCTAATATGTGGAGGGTATTATTATATAGTTAAGGTCTTGTCTTTTTTTCTCCCATTCACTTTCTAATATATATTATACTTTTATTTCATAATTTTTTTATCATATATAAGTGAGGTAATTGGTTTTTTTTGAAATTGATAAATTAGGAAATAATAATTTTGATATAAATATTATAATAAAAGAATAAATCAGTTTAAATATAAAGATAAGGGCGTATTTGTTAATTTATAATCCCCTTCTCTCCAACCAAACAAAACCCATGACCTCCCTTCTCCTCCCCTCTCCTTCCTTTAACCTCCCCTCCCCTCCCCTCCATTGAACCAAACAAATTGAACCAAACAAAGCCTTAACGCCGCTATTGTAAGGCATTGTTTGGCTTCCGTAATAACCCCAATTTTCACTGTGATATTGGTCGTAAACTGCTCGCTCTCTCTCTCTCTCGAATCGAAGGTTCTCGGTTGATCTCAAGCTCCGGCACAAATTCAAGTCCCATCGTTCTATTCTAAACAGAGCCTTTGACTTCCTCCCTTTTGCTGAAGCGATTTCTAGGTTTTTTACCGCCGGAAAAGGACGTCTATCATTTGTCAACAAACGTGGCGCTCATTACATCAGCGCCACGTCCGTACCTTCCCTTTTGCCGGGTTAACATTTAGCTTTCCCCTTCTCCAAGTACTTTGGGACCTCCCTGTTCTCTCTCTTCTTTCCTATAACGGCAGAGGTTTTTTCCCGTTTGTCTGGTAGGGAGACTAAGCAATAAGAAAATCCTAAAGAATGGTGGATTCAGAGCGAATCCAAAATCAATGGATGCCTTCCGGACAAACCTTAGAGGCTGGAATGGACGGGCAAGGGTCCTTCTTGTTGGAATGCACCGGCACGGGTATCAATCGAGATGGAGAGGAAAGCTCTTCTCTCACGAGACAAACATCAGATGGTGGTAAACTGGGAGTCGGAGAACGTGCTTTCTCTGCCGCTGGCGCCGCCTTTCTCTCCGCAATCATTGTTAATCCTCTTGACGTTGCTAAGGTGAAATTATCGCTTCTTCTTTTGGGTTTGTGCATTTTGGTTGCGCTGTGATTGTTTGCTGAGCAAGTGTGACAAGAAGAGCCCAAGAACTCGTGATTTATATTGTAATTAGCTTAACATATCTTCGATTGGAGTTCGGACTACAAGTTTTTAATTATTTCTCCACATATTTGACTTAGAAAACGAAAAACTTGTTATTTCTTGCATTCATAAATGTAGAGACTCAGTATTAAAATGGCTGTCTGCTAATTTGCGAATGTTGAACGAATAACCTGTTTATATACTTCTTGAATATTTGTTAACCATTCTCTGTTAAGACCGTCTAGAAGTTTGAAATGCATAAATCCGTAGTCGAAGTCATATATTTTCTGCAATGCTCCGACCTGGTGGTACGAATCGCTATTAAGCAGGGGAAATCATAGGTCATGTCGTTATTAATTATCAACATTTACTAGATTATATTTGTGTGCCAGGAATGGACATTCACTTTTTTTGCTGGTTGTGTTCCATATGTTACTCTTGTAAGTTTTTTTTCTTGCCATCTATCATCGAGAGCTGCAAATACTGAGAGTTAGTTTGCGTGGTTTTAGTCTATTAGACTTCTTTTATCTAGTGGTTTATAGCTACGGCAACCAGCTGTACGGCCGAGCTCAATAGCTGGCATATTCTAATATGTATTCACCCTTGGCAGACAAGGTTGCAAGCACAGGCTGCTGGGGTCAATTATTCTCATCCTCTTGGTAACATGACCTATCGCATGGGTCATTTCGGACCAAATATGGTATGTGTGGAACATTACATTCTGTTTGCACCCTCCTGAAAATATTTATAACACGAGTTTTTTTTGGGGTTTAATATTTCGCATTTGCTCTCTGACCCACTTATTCCCACTCAGCATTTAGTTTCTGAATCAGGCATTTCTGATGGTAAGATTTTGGACGCCTTTGTTTTTGCAGCAGGAGCTGTGAAAACCGCATTTTGACCGAAGTGGCCCATGGGCCTTCGGTCAAAACCACATTTTTTTCAAGCTCCTGCCGTGGAACAAACGCACTCTCTATGGTTAAATGACATTGTTACGCATTGTTTTCATTTGGTTTCGTATATGCCAGTCAAAGATCCCCCTTTTTATCTGGATCTATTTGCTTGTAACTTCTGTTGTTGATTTTATGTTTGCTAAGTAACATTGAATCAATCCCTATCCTTCATTTACCATCTTGTCCTCTCTGCAGTAGCAATTAATTTGATATTTGCTTTATTGTGCATCAGTTGTTTGCAGATTTAAGATGTTCTCCTTCATGTACGCGGGCAGGAATCCATGGAACAGTATCAATTTGTCCTCCTGAGTGTTTTCGGTACAAAGGAACGCTGGATGTTCTCTACAAGATTGTACAACAGGTTTGTGATCATGCATATCACGCTACCAGAATCTGTGTTAATGCTTTTGGATGCTGACTTGTTGAGTAAACATGCATTCTGAGCAGTCATATCGCTGTACGTACTGTTTTCTTTTCTTATCTTTCAAGTTCCCACTAATCAGAGTGTAGTTTTGCAGGAAGGATTTGCTAGACTATGGAGAGGAACAAATGCAGGCCTCGCACTTGCTGTACCAACCGTAGGTTCACCGGTCATTTTTCTGTTTCTCAGTAAAGTAATGAGATTATATGTTGAGCATGCAGGGCAATCTAATTAATTGTTTGAGTTTCTGTTATTTTTCAATGGCTTCATTAGGTAGGAATATACCTTCCTTGCTATGACATATTCCACAACTGGTTGGAGGAGTTTGCAGCCAAAAATGTTCCGTCCATGATTCCATATATACCCTTACTAGCAGGCTCCCTGGCACGGTCTCTAGCTTGCGCAACTTGTTATCCTATTGAGCTTGCTAGAACGCGCATGCAGGTATTTTAGATATTGCAAAATGAACTGTATTATTTACCTTATTTATGGGAGGATTGGTGTAATGGGTTTGATAGTGGTAGCTTCTAGCATTCTTCCTGACTTGTGGCAGATTGAGGATTTTGTTGGCGTATCAGACATAATATGCACTCATGATCTAATCTTTTGTGCATTAAATAAAGGGATTGGCCTGCAACTTTTTTGCTGGTCAACTCTGTTTAAGGCTGTATTTTGCTTATTGCTCCTGTGGTCTGCCTGTTTTGCTTTTTTCCAAATATTTCACTTATACCTAGTCAGCGTCGCCATGATGTATGATGTTTCAATTCCAACGGGAAAGACTTATCTTCAACTTCTAATTATGGCTGGCTAGTGACACTTTCTTTGCCGGTGCTTTGACCTTGTGCATTTGCAGTGGAACTAGATTACTTGTATTTCCTGTGGTCTCCTTGCTGCTTCATTTATTTATCCTCTCGGGAATCCTTGTGGTCTTTGCGAATTCAAGTATTTTCAGCTATATTTCCCATTCCACTAGCTGTATGGATCCTAATTGTTTGTTTTTTCCTTTTGTTTTTTTTGTTTTTTGTTTTGGGAATCTTTGTTGAAGGCTTTTAAGGAGACTCAAGTTGGTAGAAAGCCTCCTGGAGTGTGCCAGACTCTCTTGGGTGTTGTCTCACAAGTGAAGAGCACAAATACTCTCCAGAACGGCCGTAAGTGCATAGTTTTACTGTTGATTGACATAGATTTGTAAATTTGTAGGGTTGGCTGGACTTGGATACTCATATATGGGGTTAATCTTATTTCTGTTCAAGAACAAGATGGTGCATGCCCGTATGATGTATTGTGTAACTTCAAAATAGCCTCAGTCATAGAATTGGATTTAGTTCTGGGAACAAGCGGCTAACTTAATTTAAGCCTAATTTTGTGATGTTCGCATGAGTAATTTTATTCCAGTTTCAGAGATTCTTCTAATTTGGGCTTTTGGCGCACCCTATGCTGAAATCTCTAACAGAATGATATGCGCATGTAGGACAAAACGTGTAAAGCAAATCATCATATCGATATTGATACGTATATTTGATATGCATATAATTTATATGAAGTTGTACTATTTATAGGCCATGAACAATACAACTTGCCTTAGACCATGTGCAAAGCATGAGGCCCTCAATCTTGTTAGACAATGATTCTTTATATCATGTAATTGTGATTAAATTGCATTATTTCATTGCAGTGCAAGGTTATCGTGTCTTATGGACTGGCATGGGTTCTCAACTTGCCCGTGATGTCCCCTTCTCTGCCATTTGCTGGTCAACACTTGAACCAGTGAGATTCATTTCTTTTATCTGAGAAATAGTTAGTTCTGTTTATCAACAACATTCTCCATTTACTTATGCCAATTATATCTTCGTGCTTTCCAGATGAGAAGAAAACTTCTTAATCTGGTTGGAGGTGATGAAGCCAATGCAATGGTTGTCCTTGGTGCAAATTTTTCAGCTGGTTTTGTTGCAGGAAGCCTTGCAGCTGGTGCCACATGTCCGTTAGATGTTGCAAAAACTCGAAGGCAGATTGAGGTATGTTTAATATTTTTTTCTTCTTTTTGCTAAACTCAACATCACTCTCCTCTCTCATTTATACTGTAGGGAAGAGCTTCATAACTTTTGTTTTTTTAATTGGGTGAGATATAGTACAGTGATTAATAGGAGAAAAATAAGTTTAGGAACAATTAACCAGGTGATTTGTCTGTGCATTGACCATATTTTGACTTAATTAATTACTTGCTTAGTTGATCGTTTCTAAACTGGAAATGTTTTGGTACAGCGAAAAGATTGTGATTCTTATAATTCTTTCTGGCGTAGACACCATAATCAGAAAGAACTGTTGGGTTGGCATTAACATTTCTACTTTCTATGAATTCTAGAGAATTTTAGATCCTATTCTAATGTTAATCTCTCCTTCCAAAAACTATCCAGAGGGATCCAGCCAGAGCATTGAAAATGACTACAAGGCAGACATTGATGGAGGTTTGGAGGTATAACTGATTAACATTCTCTGTATGGAGATGGATATCGCATGTTGTGTGCTTCATTGGCCTAATATTACTCACATGGCATAGTAAATTTATTTCAACTGTCGGGTTACTACGCATTTGAAAAAATTGGTATCGATTGCTTAGAACATACAAACCAAGTTAACTGATTCAATTTTCACTCGTCACATCGCTTGCTTTTGGTAAAATCATTTTATCGGTAAACAGAATCATTTTATCTGGCCTCTATATTTTCCTCAAAAGACTCCCAAATCTCTGGTGGTTGTCCTTGACCAAAAAGGGGGTTTGATAGGATAGAAATAGAAAAGAGAGATAGAAGAGAGTTCAGGGAAGGAGAAAGATGGAGAAAGATAGGAATTAGGAGAGAAAGTTAGAGAAGGGATGATCAGAGAGAGAGAACAGAGAGAAAATAGAGAGAAGGCAGGTTCGGAAACTGAGTAGTGCACTGTATAATCTTCAAATCAAAAACTGTACAATGGGTACCCTGGTCACGTCTATTTATAGGCCTACTTACAAAACTAATTCTACTTAAATAACTCTCCTAACGATTAGTGACCGTTGCTCCTACTACTATTTAAAAATAATTACAATAATACATCAATACCCCCCTCCCAAAAGATCCCTGCCCTCAAGGATTTGGAATAACAAAATCTGGAAATTGTTGCTGAAAACTATAGAGGGGCATCCAGGAGGCTTCTTCATCCGGTAAACCTTGCCACTGAACAAGTATTTCAGTAATTAACTTCCTTCTTTTTTTGGCATTTCTTTTTCCCAAAATCTTCTCTGGAACTAGTGCTACTGGCACTTCAGGAAAATCAGGAGGTGGATGTCTAGGTTTAACAGAAGGGTCTGGGCACAATTTTAGTAGAGAGACATGAAAAGTAGGATGAATTGACTCAGGAGGTAGGTCTAATCTGTAAGCAACGGCTCCAACCTTCCCAATCACCTTGTAGGGGCCAAAATACCTAGGAGCCAATTTTTGAGAACTCCTAGAAGCAGCAGAAATCTGTTGGAGGTTGTAGCTTTAGGAAAACCCATTGCCCAATAGCAAATTCCTGATCAGTTCTGTGATTATCGGCTCTTTGCTTCATTATATTTGCTGCCCTATGGAGATGATGTTTTAAAAGACCCATCATTTCCTCCCTTGCTGTAAAACTCCTGTCCACAGCATCTAAAACTGAATTATGAGGTAAATAAGGAGAATGGATTGGTGGTTTTTGCCCATAAAGCAATTCATAAGGTGTAGACTTTGCAGCTAAATGAAATGAAGTATTATACCACCACTCAGCTTGTGCAACCCATTTATTCCAATCCTTGGGTCTTTCCCAACACATGCATCTTAGATATATTTCCAAACAACGATTCAACACCTTTGATTGGCCATCTGTTTGGGGATGATAGGCAGAGAAAAGCTTTTGATCAACCCCCAATACCCTTAAAAACTCTTTCCAGAAGTTGCTCACAAACAAAGGGTCACCATCATTTATGGCAGTGGTGCTGGTTGTGTTGCATTGGCGACAATACTTAGAGAGGCCAAAGTTTCTCATTAAAACAGACCAGCAAAGTATTAAGTACCTATTGATGTATTATTGTAATTATTTTTAAATAGTAGTAGGAGCAACGGTCACTAACCGTTAGGAGAGTTATTTAAGTAGGATTAGTTTTGTAATTAGGCCTATAAATAGACATGACCAGGGTACCTATTGTACAGTTCTTGGGGTGAGTCATTGTGTTTGGAGCAGAAGATACCCCTTGCGAGGACACGTCCAATGAAGACCTTGAAGATGTATTCTTGCCGTGCTGTTTCGAAATGGTTATCTCCTACGTTCTTGCCAGTCGCTGAGCTTCTCTTATTGTGTGAGGGTTAAACATTTGGACGGGCCCAGCAATGTCATCTTTGAGAGTGAACACGTACGCGTCCAGATATGCCTATGACAAGTCCAACTTTGTCGAGACCGAGTCGAATTTCATGTTAAAGTCAGCTAAGGATCCCACTGGGCGAAGATGAGTGAATTCGGCCATGGGATTATCACACGAGGGTCCGAACACATCCTTTAGCAGACCGGTGTACTCTTCCCATATCGGTAGGTTCCCCTGCCATTGTCGCTCAACCGCAAGGTGCCACTGGAAGCTTGAGTCGTCCAGGTGCATCGACGCGATCTTTACCTTGGCTGCTTAGGGGTCTTGTCGAATTCAAAGAACCTGTCGCATTGTGCTATCCATGCGAGCACGTTCGATCCGTTGAACCTTGGGAATTCAATTTTTGTGAATTGGGTTGGGCGTTGGTAACCGTTGTGAGCTCCCTTGCTGCCTTGATCATTGGGTCGCTCGTGATTGTTGTTGCGAATCACGAGTGTGCCTTCTCTAACATCGCGAACAAGATTCTGAAGCTGCGTGGTGACACCCAAGACTGTTTCTTGAAGTTCGTCGACGGTGCTCAGACGTTGTTCGTTTAAAGCCAAGACGTTGTTCGTTTAAAGCCAAGCGTTCTTCTATTATTCTCGCCTGGCCACGGGTAAGTACCATACATCGAGAATGAATTCAGAAAATAATGGTGAGGAAAGATTGGCTCCGAATACCACTGATAGGACAGGAATAGAAAAGAGAAATAGAAGAGAGTTCAGGGAAGGAGAAAGATGGAGAAAGATAGGAATTAGGAGAGAAAGTTAGAGAAGGGATGATCAGAGAGAGAGAGAACAGAGAGAAGGCAGGTTTGAAAACTGAATAGTGCACTGTATAATCCTCAAATCAAAAACTGTACAATGGGTACCCTGGTCATGTCTATTTATAGGGCTAATTACAAAACTAATCCTACTTAAATAACTCTCCCAATGGTTAGTGACCGTTGCTCCTACTACTATTTAAAAATAATTACAATAATACATCAGGGTTCTTACGAGTTCTTGCTGAATCTGCTCTATGTAGAACTGGGCTAGAGCATCCTTGTTCCAATCCGTTTTGTCATGCCACGTTAGATCTGCCAATGTAAGGTCTTGATGTGGGAGTCTCGTACAAGACAGTTGGCAAACCATGAGTTACTGATTTAATCAATGCCATCCTTGCAAGAGACAACAATTAAGCTTTTCAGCTTTGTAGCTTAATAACCAGTTTCCCAATAATTTCTTCTTTATATTTAGGACTGGAGGAGTATTATTTTTTTTTAGTGTTGAATTGAAACCTCATAGAAGGGTAATCATATAAGGGCATGTATCATTCAAAAGTTGAGGAGGGTGTTTGTAGATGATACAATAAAATGGAAAATTACGTCTACCCCCGTGATATGGCGTGTGCTATTATTAAGCATAGAGCTCCATGAAAAGATCGTGCAAGTTACTCGAACTGATCTGATATAGTTCTTCAGTCAATTGATATTGTGTTCCTTGAGCTGTGTTTTAAATGCTGAACATTGTCTGTCTTGATAAGGGCGCCGATATAGTTTGAATTTTTTTATGCCCGTGTGCCCTGATTGTTAAATGATGTTGTTTTCTTTCCTTGTTTTCAGGGAAGGAGGCTTAAAGGGACTCTTCACAGGTGTTGGTCCACGAGTTGGACGAGCAGGGCCCTCCGTGGGAATTGTCGTTTCGTTTTATGAAGTTGTAAAGTATGTTCTGCATAACCGCTACGCAACATCTTGATAAATATGAGACCGGATTCCTTTTTTGTCATCCTTTTTTTTTTTGGTTTCCTCCGGAGGCAATCACTCCACCTAACCTGATTGAGAATCTTGGAGATTTCTGGGAAAGTTTTTGCGGAATTCTAGGCTAATCCGTTGTCGACAATGGTTAGACACTTCTCTCTTGAGCAGAAGAATGACAGGAAATAGGGTATTTAACCCAAGTTTTACTTTTTAGGTTTTAAGCTTTCATGTAAGGCTGCCGCTTCGGCAGAAATTTTGTGACGCCATTTGTTCTCTTCCCAAAAGCACTTGCTGAATAAAATATTTACAGGCTTCCAATATGGAATGGAAGCCATTGTACATCAATATTATATTTTTAAGAATTTTGGAAACCCTTTAGGGCATTCCTGAAAATTTCATTCGTATATTATTTGACATATGCATATAAATAAATTTTAGTAAAATTTACTATTTCGACATACTAAGGCCTAAATATTTTGAGAGCTTCTTGTTGCCTGGTTCAAATCCATTGATCCTGGAACGTCAACCCATTTTCCAGCGACCTTTATTTCCTTTTCCCTTTCGAAATTATTCTCTTCTTTGACTGTTTCTGGCCGAACCTCCGATTTTTTTTTATAATTAAAAGTCAAATTCAGTTAAAAAGATACAGTAGTAAAAAGCCAGCCATTATAAGAAGGTCCGTTTGAGCAATGGCCAACTGTTTTGAAAATATGAGATAATCAGGGCCAAAATTAAAATTTCATGTGGCTGCTGGGATTCGAGCCCAGGTCTCCACGGCCACAACGTGGAATTCTTACCACTAAACTACAGCCACCTCAGCAGTCTATTGTTTATATGCCTAGAATTCTATTATCATTTTTCCCCCTAAACTTTTCGGACACCAATTGTTTCCTCCACTAAGAGCATTCAGATTGCTGACTAATTTATGTTTTTTTCCCCTAAATTTTTCCGCCACCAATTTTTTTCTCCATTAAGAACATTCAGATTACTAACCAATTTATGTTTTTTCCCGTAAACTTTTTTGCCCCCAATTTTTTCCCCCATTAAGAACATTCAGGGGCAAGAGAAACATAAGCTTTCTTTAAATAATACTATCTCCGATCCGAATTATAAAATCTCACTTATAATCTATAAATAAGATCTTATAATTAGGAGCCGATGTAGTATTATACAATTAAGCATTTATTATGTAGTATTGCTAACTAATTTACATTTGAATATTGTTGACTTTATGTAAAATAATTTCCTCAATACGCCCCTTCTATACTTAATTATATAACATACAAGTGTAGCTTTGCAGGAAGGACTTGCTAGGCTATGGAGAGGAACAAATGCAGGCCTAGCACTTGCTGTACCAACTGTAGGTTCACCAGTCATTTACTGTTTTTCAGTAAATCAATAACATTGGGTGCCTGTTTGCTAAGGGGTTTTGTATAGGAAATTTTTTTTTTATAAGTGTGATAAGTTAATTTATAAATTTGAGAGTTGTTTGTCATAATTTTTTTTTATCAATTTGATTTATGAGTCAAAAACTTTTTTTTTAAGCACGGTTGTAAAAACACCAAAAATTTATTTATGACTTATGTAAAAATAACTTTTTAAAATTAAAAGACATTTTATCCTTATATTTTTGTCATTATACTTCTCTATCTCTCTATATTTCTTGTACTTCCTAATTATTTTTTAGTTATTTATTTTTAATTTTTTTAAGTAAAAATAATTTTTAACTATTTTTATAATATTTTTAATTTTTAATTTATTTTTATTTTATATTTACATAAATTAGGCAGAGTATATTATTTAATTAATTATGTATTATTATTTGGTTCAAAAAATTTCACATTACTGTAGTTTCTAGTTTAAATATATTTTATTCATTAAATATAACTTTTTTATTATAATAATTTAAAATTATTATATTTTGTAAATTTATAATTTTAATCATTTTTTATTATTTAATAAAAGTAATATTCATTATGGCCGTTTTGCAAACTAAATTTATTAATTTAATTATAATTCAAATATTTTTTTTACTTTACAAACTAATTTTTTATAAAATTTAATTTAAATATAAATCATATTATCTAATGTGATTTTTTTGAAAATTCAGATTAAAAATAAGTTTTTTTTTTTGGGTGCTGTGAATCCAAACAGAGCCTAATATGCGTGGCGCATGCAGGGCAATGTAACTAACCACCTCCTCTAGCTTTTACCCTCCGTCGCGGAGCCCCAGATGCTGAGCCAGATTGGGAGTACCAGCTATTCTTACGGGCTGTTTGAATGAAACCAAATCATAATTTAGAGAATAGTTTCTGAAGAATAGATTCTGGAGATAATAGATTTTGTGAAAAAGTGATTTTGAGAAATGAGAGTGTTTAGATAGTTGTTATCAGAAACATTTTTTATATATATAAATTACTAAAAAAAACATAAGTTAATATGATAATTACATAAAAGATAGATTTTATGATATATTTTAATTTGAAGGAATAAAATTGTTAATAATATATTTTTTACCAACATAATTAATAATACATAAGATAATGTAATTAATAAATAATTAATATGTGTATATATTTATAAGATATAAGATTAAATATGTTTATAAAAAAACAATTGAGGATGTTAAAGTCATATTATTGTTGAGATCTACTCTGACAGATATAATTATACTTTCCAATTTAAGCTAGAAGCAGAATGAATTCACTTCTCCTGAAACCATAGTTTTAGATTCCAAAATCATAGTTTTAACCCAAATTATGGTTTCAGATTATTGGTCCAAAATTGATGCTGTTTGCGTGACATTCCACCCAAATCATGGTTTTGGAAGCCATCCAAACAGGCACTTAGATGCAAATAGAGAAGAGATTGGCTGACGTGTTTTGGCCGGTGTGTTTTTGTCTTTTTCCATACTGTTGGAACCTCCCGTTTTCGTTTGATTTTAATGAATTTAATGAAGGCACCCTTGCTGGTCAAAAAAAAACAAAAGAGGCAATTAATTGTTGGAGTTTCTGTTATTTTCCACTGGCTTCATCAGGTGGGAATTTACCTTCCTTGCGAGTTGCGATGACATATTCCCCAACTGGTTGGAGGAATTTGTTGCAAAAAATTTTCCATCCACGATTCCATAGGCGCCCTTAGTGGCAGGCGCCCTGGCACGCTCTCTAGCTTGTGCAACTTGTCCTATTGAGCTTGCGAGGAAACTTTTGTATTGTGACTTCGTTCCTTTTTACACAGTCATCGTCCGCTTTGCTTTGCTTAGGTCCGTTTGAGCACTTTTTTAACTGTAGGATCTGGACCTTTTTTCTTGGTGATAATATATGGGTGTCTTTTTTTTTTTTTTTTGGGAAGTTGCAGCGATCGCTTCCTATCAGCAAGCCTGATAATGCTCACGCTCTCCTCTGCAAAACCCGTGCTTCTGCGAGGTAGAACTTTTTTTCCCTTCATATGCACGAGATTCCCTAGGCAAGTGGGGGCCAAACAAACCATGTCTTCGCACGCAGAAGGTCCCGAAATGAAGGAGTTCGTGGATTATCTCGACTCTCTGAAGAACTACGAGAAATGGGGGGTGCCCAGAGGAGCAGGCACGGATTCCTGCCAAGGGTTCGATCTTGGTAGAATGAGAAGACTAATGGAGCGGTTCGGTAACCCTCAGTCTAAATTCAAGGTTGAACTGTTCTCCCTGTATGTTTTTTAATGTTAAATGTCGGGTATCTTATAATTTAGGACTAGTAAGAGCAAAGGGTTCTTTACTGTATGCTATGAAACTGATATTTATTCCCTAAGATTCATCTCGCCCAATTGAACGAGTCTAAAGCGAGCCGCAGAACTATTGAATGCATTATTAATGGAAATTATGAACCTTCGATGTGAAAAAGAACCTCTTTTTTCTTTTTCTTTTAAATGTATGATATTTACAGCCGCGTTTACCCCATATCTTCTACCCTTTTGAATTGACTGACTGTTCAATTTATCGACTTACTGCAATTGTAGGCCGTCCATATTGCCGGGACCAAGGGAAAAGGATCAACGGCTGCGTTCATTTCTAATATTCTGAGGACAGAAGGCTATTCTGTTGGGTGTTATACTAGGTAGAGTGCCCATATAATAATTTCCAGAGGATTTTAGTATTTGCGGCTGCCTGTACTTTCAACTTTAGCTGTGCCTTCATTACAACCTGTATATCAATAACGACAGTCTTTATTTTTCTCAAGCAGCCCACATATCCAGACTATAAGGGAACGCATTTTACTTGGAAGATCTGGCGATCCTGTTCCAGCGAAAATACTGAATTGTCTTTTTCGCAGGATCAAGCAGAATCTTGACCAAGCAATGAGTGAGGAAAATGGTTGCTTAAGTCATTTTGAGGTGTTTCAATTGTATAAAATTCTAAACTTGATCAAGAAACTAATGTTCTAACTTTAGGAAATTATTTATTCTTCTGCCTGCTGATGAGAAAATGTCTGATCAGTTGATAGCGTGGAAGTCAGCATATTCAATTTATTTGGTCATTTTTCATCTCTGGATTAATTCGTCATTATTGGTTACGCTTTTGCAAATAGGCATTGTTGCACCCTGAGTTCATAATTTCATTTTGATGCTTGCACTTCTCTAACGTTCTGTTATAGGCCTGGTGAATATTTTGCTTTGGTTGAATGTTATCTCTGTTCTTCACTTCAGTTATTGGTGCTCGATCCTTGGTATACAAAACCAACTTATATAGTAATTGACTAACTCGACTTAATGATGGTGGTGTTTTAGGTTTTCACTGCCATAGCATTCATCCTATTTGCTGAAGAGAAGGTTGACATTGCAGTTATTGAGGTTATATTTACTTACACGTGATATTTTGACAGCACAACTTTACTAAAACTCTTGGCTGATTCTTCTGATTTTGTATCTCCCCCCAGAACATGCTTGAGTTGTGGATGTCATAACTTCTATTGCCAATAACAAGAAATCAAAACATGGCTAGTGTGATACAAATAATAATATCATTTATTTCTTTTCAATTTTGGATAGGCCGGGTTGGGAGGTGCACGTGATGCAACTAATATTATATCCCCCTCTGGACTTGCTGCATCAGTCATAACCACTGTAGGTGAGGAGCATTTGGCTGCTCTTGGGGGTTCTTTGGAAACTATTGCGGTAGCTAAGTCAGGAATCATAAAACAAGGCCGTCCAGTTAGTTGTTTCTCTCTTTATATCTCTCCTGTGTATGAAAGTGAATTATTAAACCTGATTAGATCTGATCCAATTCTCATGCACATGTGTGCATGTTATGGTGGCAACTATTTCTTAGTACGTTAAGTAACATATGATGCAATTTTAGCTCTTATGTACATGATTATATACAATGTTAGAAACATGGCTGCTATTAACGTTACTCTCCATGTTCAAATCGTGGCAGGAAGGCATCACTGTTTTTATAGTCTTTCGTCTGCCCTGACCCCTCTGTCTCTTAAGGGGCTCTCTTACCCTACTGGCTAAGCGTTCAAGAATAATGTTATACCTGGTTTTGTATCGTTCTTCAAACATATTTATCTTAATCTCAAAGCTTGATAAGCAGCTTGAAAATATTCAAGAATTGTCGTATGTTTTGCTTGTATAATGCTGACATTGCATGACTTAAAAACAGACCATCAGATGAGGGTTTAAGGTTAAAATAAAATTTTCTAATTCAGTAATTTTAGGGTGTCGGCTAGGTGATCCAATTTGATGTTGCAATGCTGAGGTAGCTATGAGGCAGGACAACCATTTTTATGTTGTCCAATACCATTAATATAGTGGACTCCATTGGTTCCATCAATTTTGTTGACTACACAAATATATTTCAGCTGGTGCTTGGTGGGCCATTTCTCCCTCATATTGAGCACATTATTCGCCATAGAGCAGCATCCCTAGACTCACCAGTAGTGTCAGCATCTGATGCCGGGAATAGATGTTCCATAAGAAGTATTGGCATGCTTGATGGCAGACCTTGCCAATCCTGTGATATAGCAATAAAAGTTGAAAAAGACTTGGAGCTGGTATGACCTTGGCTTGTTGAACGTTCATTTTTTATTCATATTCTGCATCCCATATTCATGGTTGTGCTTTTAAAATTTAATTTTAATCAGTACTCTTTAAAGATAATCATTTGTAGTCTGATAATGACATTCATTGAAAATGGTTTAGCGAGCAGCTTTTGCTGTGGATAATTGTCAAAATCTCAAAATGGATATGATAGTATTTGACATAGTGAAGAGAGTTGAGAAATAATGACTCAGTAAAAGAACTCTTAATTTTGAATAATAATTTCATTTCTTGCTTTGTATGAAGACCTAATTTTTATGGCCCCATTTGCGTGCGATGCTGCTTTGCATTTGATGTCATCTCATGATGTATTCTGAATGTCAAAAAGCACCGTATTTCTGTTCCGCCTCTGCCTGCTTTTTAAATTGGTTCCCACTGCCTAGTTGCTATTGTCGATCATTTGAAAAAACATATGAATGATTTGTGTATATTCATGCAGTCCTGTGACTTACTTGATCTGAAGCTACATCTGCTTGGAAGTCACCAACTGCAGAATGCAGCAACTGCTACTTGTGTGGCACTTTGTCTTCGTAATTTAGGTAAGACTTTTCTATGTTCTGCTCATAAATTTGTGCCCTTCCTATTAGTTTCTTAGCGATTTAAATCGTAGATATTTCTAGGCTGGTTTATTACTTGATGTTTAGATGTGTGGTTCTTCATCTGTTCAGGGTTTCTGTAAACTGTGAACAGATAGTAGCCTTTCATATTGTCAAACCTTTGCTAAGATACCATTTTATGCTATAGAATCCACTATTGTCAAGACATCGCATCTAGTTCCTTAACTACTTTAATAGAAGTCTTTCTTTTCTTTTCTTTTCTTTTCTTCCTTCCTTCCTTCCTTGTCCTCCTCACCATGTAGCAACCTTTCTTGATTCATATGTTCTAATTATTGTCATCTTGACACATCAAATTAATGCCTTTGATTGTTAAAGATTAACGTCTATCGAAATGCATTCTTGTTCGGATGATCAGGATGGAGAATTTCTGACAAGTCTATAAGGGCTGGTTTAGAGCATACATGCCTTCTTGGAAGGAGTCAATTCCTAACTAATGAAGAAGCTGGAGTGTTAGGACTTACTGGAGCAACAATATTGCTTGATGGAGGTTGATTCCTACGACTTTGCTATCTGCTTATCATTTTACGCACTCACGCACACACAGAGTAACCCAGACTTCAGAATTGTTGAATTCTAAATGATGGAGTAACTTTCTTAACATGGTCTCACAAGGTTCAAATTCATGACTTTGTTCGTGGGATATTGAGTCCTTTCTATTCAACCTGTTAGTCTTCACTCTTAATATATTTCAAGTGTTAATCTGAATTTGGTGAAGAAATGGTTTTGTCGAATCCTACAAAATTTTCCGAGTATAAAAAATCTAGATAGAATGCACCCTTCGTAGTTTATGTAGTCCTGTAATCGGAAATTTCTGGGGAACTAAGTAAGAAACGGAAAATTAGATGAGAATGAATGAAAAGGAAGGGTTAATCAGATTATGAACCAGAATCTCAATCTCATAGCCCGACAGAGTTAAAGTGGAGAATCTCCAAGATTAGACTGAATAATATTTGAAACATATTGCTGCCATTCAAATACCATATATTACGAGGACATCACAGCAACTGAACAAGTGAACATATCTGTCTCCTAGGAAATTGATATCAGATCCTACATAGTAAAGTGTCATTCTGTTTCTTATAAATAGACCTGGAGGTAGTACTAATTTACAGCCTGCTGGCGTGGCATTAGCTTTACTATTGTTTATTCCATCTCTCGTCTTGGTACTCTATCATCTAACTGGAAGAAAGCTCTTCGATTAATGGAGCGTATTGTAAGAGGAACTACGGATTTTCTGTCGTGGTGCCCATGAATAATTCATGAGGACTAAATTTTACCCTTTTTTTTTTTGCCGGCGTATTGCTGTAGCCCATACCAAAGAATCTGCCAAGGCACTGATGAACACAATAAGGATGGCTTATCCAGAGGCTCGATTGGGTTTTATTGTTGCTATGGCAAGTGACAAAGACCATGTAGGTTTCGCCAAAGAGATTCTCTCAGGTAAATCTGTCCATTGTGTTTGTTTAGTATTATGTCAAACTAACCACATTCCCAAGTTTGGGGACACCAGAGGTACAGTGTTTTAAACCAATCTGAGCCGCTGGTTCAACCGATAAACTAGTTGCTGGTCTGATCTTGAATGGTAGCCAAATGGAGGAACATTCAAGGTTCAACTGGTGTTAAAACCTGTTAAAACCGGCCAACCCGGTGTTGAACCGGTTAAAACTAGTATAATCGGCATGTCAAGTTGTCAACTAATCGAACTAGTTATGTTCCCACCCCCCCAGGGGGGATTTCATCTATGTTTCTATTATTAATTTTTAAAATTATAGAATATTTATTAACTTTTTAAATTATATTTTTACTTCTTATTTCCATTCACTTTTATATATATTTTTTCAATTTTACTGCTTTTTATTTGAAATAAGTTTTTAATGTTTTACTTATTATTAGTATTTTTTTCCTTATTTAAAATAAGTTATATGTTTAAAACATACTGCAATATTATTATTATTATTATTATTATTATATCTTTCTTATTCATTTAATTATGATCCGTTTGACTACTGCCAGTTCATTGAACTTTGATCTGGTATTCCGGCTAGTTTAATGTTCATTCTGGATTTTAATTCATCGATCAACGGAAAAGGCAGATCCTTTAGGCTTTGTAAAAGACTTATGATTTGGGTGACATCAGGATGATGGCGTCAAATAATAAGCATCAAGCAGTAGGTTTGAACCGATTCCATGCAACAAAATATTGCATATCTTCGATGCATCATTAAGTTCAGCATTGTGGATGAACGTGTATACCAGTGATGTGAATAATTCCACCGCATTTGTTCAGGGGAGCATGTAGAGGCCGTTGTGTTGACTGAAGCCGTGATCGCCGGAGGTGTAACTCGGATGACGTCGGCTGAGTGTTTGAAAGATTCTTGGATTCGAGCTTCTGAAGAACTTGGCGTTGAAACTGTTCACGACGCAGAATTGATCGAGGATGAAACGGCCCCTTGCGCGAGGGATTTACATGATCACAGAACTGTGTTGGCTACTGAGGGCTGTTTAGAGAGTTGTTTGAGAACCACAGAGAAGATTTTAAGAAGAAATAAAGGGGTTGAGAGGGGTATCATTGTCATCACAGGGTCTCTGCATATTGTTTCCTCAGTTATAGCTCGTCTCGGAGGTGAAGGCTATTTACAGTGAAGCTGTTCGCGTATTTCCTCTACTGGATGTCGTCGTCTCAGTTGGCAGTCAACCTTTGTTTTCCCCCTCATGGAGCACTGCTAATCTGTAGCTAGCAATCAACCTTTATTTTTATAAGTTACAATCAAGTGTTTTTAAATTATGTCTAGGGTCTTCAGAAGAAATAATTTTCCTCAAATAAACAGTTAGTACTAGTATCTAACAAATTCCCAAAAATAAAAATGCCCAGCCACATATGTGAGTATTCGACGTCGGCTAGCTGGGGTTTCACCTTGTGTATCGTGTTCATGACTTGAGTATCGTGTTCATGTGCATGCTGCATGGCATTGCAAACCGCCAATTGTCTTGTAATTTAATGATATGAAAGCTCTCTTTACAAATACAAATAGAAAGTTGTGAATTCTATCTGCTAATTTTCCATTACTCATTAGTGACTGATCAATTTCTCAATACTCATTAGTGACTGTCTTTATAATTCAAAAAATAAAATAAAATAATAAAAAACGTAAACATCTACACCTTGGGGGGAAAATCACGAGAGGTGTCACAATAGGGGAGTGCGGCGGTGTATAGTATTACTCCCTCCGTTCCTTATTATAAGAGACATTTAATGCTTATAGTATGTTCCTAAATATAAGAGACACTTAAAAGTTGTCTCTACTTTTTTGTGTTGATTTCTTATTTTACCCATATTTATTATCTCCAACTCATACTCTCTCTCCTTCCCACTTCTCTTTCTTTTAAGAATTTACTATTGTTCTCTCTCATGCTCTCTCTCCTTATTAATGAGGGTATTTTTGAAAAAAAAAATTATACTTTTTACACATTCATTGTTCTTAACTAATTTTAACTGTTTTTTTGATCAACGTAATTCGGTTATTTGTCTCTTATAATAAGGAACGGAGGGAGTAATGTTTAGATCAAGGTCTCGGCCAAGCTTTAATAGCATTGATGGCTACTGGGCTGTTACTCTCTCCACTTATAAAAGCAAGGGCTAAATAATATAGATTAAAAAATTATTTAAATTAATAAATTTTATAGATGAAAAGTATCAATAATCTGTAAATTTTATACACGCAGAGTTACCACCAATAAAATTTTTAATAATACTTTTTCCAATCTTTCCTGAACAAACATATTATTTCTTGTGACATGAAATGATTAATAGGCTTTCTATGTTATCATATAGCAATATGCTAACATCATCATCTGATTTTGACATTTAAAATATGAGAATTGCAAAGAAAGTAACAGACTGGGAATCGCACATAAAAAATAGGAGCAACTTGTTAATGATCTGAGAAGAGACAAGGTCATGAACTCATGGGATAGGGAAGATGAAAATGAGAAAGGAGGGAGTGAAAAGTCCCCATATGTTTGAAACATTCCCGCGGCTAAGTGTGGGGCTAATCCTAAGTCTCAATGCGCAAAACGGGAAGCATGAATTGATATCTCACTTGTCGCTATCGTCAAGACTCAGACATTCATCTTTCAATTTTTATATTTTGTTGGTTTTCGTAGGAAGCCCCAACAATAGCATTCATATCAAAACTACTATGCTGCGCCAAGGTACGTCTTTTACGCCCACTCCCACTCCAATTATTTATACGCTGATGCCTGTTCCTTTTCATGTAAAAGCATGCTCCTCCTTTTTCTCGAAAGAGAGACGTCGCAGCCATCCTTGTCCCCATCCCCATCACATAACTCACCGGACAAAACTCTCCAAAAAAACCCGTCAAACGGCTTATTATGGACACGTCAGAAATGCCACACGCTCTTTCTATTCGATAAAAGGCTTGAGAGACAATATCAGCCAATAGGTGCCCCATTAGCCATTTCTCTATGTTTTTCCTTTTCTTTTTTTTTGGTTACTGATCTTAATGTTATCCCCCTGATTAGAGGTTTTCTTAACTGATCTCGGTACCTCCATGACCGAGTTGCCAGCATATCCAATTTTCCTTATTGCCGCTGATAGAAATATCAGAGCAAGTAAGCTTTTCTTTTCAGTTTTGAAATATTCATGCTTTAGTCTGTTATACAAACTCAAATACTTGAATCATGTTAGTGCTTTTTGAAGATAAATATATATTTATTATTTAGTGGGAAAGTTACAAGGTGATTGTTTGGGCTTTAAGTGATGAGAGGGGGGTAAAAAAAGAGCAGTCTTTTTAATATGCCGACAAGCGCATCAAGGGAATTTAATCAAAATGGGATGGACGGGTGCACCGAATATAGGCAGGGAGGACAGGGGATAGAGACATGACAGCAGAGATGGGGTATGGAAATCTAACAGAGAATCAAGCATGTGGGACACAATACCAAGAAGCCCAAGGATCTCTTCACCGGCCCAAGGGGCGACGGACAAATAGGAGGTGAGAGAGAAAGGGAAAGAACATGACAGGTTTAGGTGAAAGGAGCAGTAATGTTTTGCTCATACATTTCGTGGGTGGGCATTCAATGTGCTTTCAGATTGGGAAATGAATGAAGTTTTCTTAGAGCGGGACCCGCCCTATTCATTTCCTTTCTCCATGTCATGTTTTTAAGTTTTGTCTCACACAGCCTTGTAAATGATCCCGACAGCCCACGAAAATGCTGAGAAACTATCAAATCTAAATCTTGAGCGACGATCATTAGCTACCAGATACTGCAGCCATTGTCCGTTTCCAATCTTGGAGCCCTATCTAGGGTGCTGTTCTACAGAAAACTTTACCTGCTGGAATCTTCTTAAAATAGAAACCAATAGATATAGCAAACCTATTTAACCTGTATTAACTCCAATCATAAAGTGTCTGCGATATGTAGACACAGGTTTACCCATTTCGCATAATGCGGAATGTTTGCATGTATCTATACCATTATTTGTCCGCCTAGCGAGAGTCATTGTTTGAAGTATGTCATAAAAGGAAGTTCTGTACTTTGGCTAGCTAGCTGTGTTATCCATGGACATTACTCGCTAGATACCTGATTAACTAGCTTCAACCATCATTTGTCTGCGAGAATGCAACGTAATAGTTATGGTTTTCACTCGCTATAATGTTGGCACAGAAGAACAAAGCAGGGCAACCTCTGCAAGTCTGGGAAAGGAAGATTTAAAAGGGAACGGCATCTAGAGGACACAGACCACAAACTGCCGTAGCGAAAAACCCAGTTTAAGCATCAGATTCTGGGGCTTTACAGCGAAAGTCATGATCAAGGTACTGTTCCCCATACCGCTTTTAACTGTTATGCATGTGTGAGAATCTGAAACAACTTTAATCTTTGAAATTCCCAAGTACACACTGAGGCTTGCATGGTTGCATTACATTTACATGGCGTAAAAAAAGTAAGATGCTATGATTATTATGCATGTCACGCTATTCAAGACCGAGTAAATATGGTGGCAGCATGCAATATTCTGCTCCTTAATAATGATATATTGGCCTAAATTGAAACCCCAGTTTGGTTTGGGAGAGAGCAGAAAAGGTGGGTTGGTCGTTGAGAGTGGTAAATGTGAAAATTGATGTATGATGCCAAAGAAATGGACGCATTCGGAGGGACATAAATGTGAAAAACCCAAAATATTGTGGATTGAATATGAATTAAATGAAACGCACTCCCATGCTGAAACAAACAATTACTGCTCCCCCATTTGTCACTCACTCAGACCAGCCACCCCTGCCACGGTGAGCCCTCCTTCCTCGCTCACAGAGAGAGAGAGAGAGAGAGTGAGAGAGAGAGAGGGAGAGAGGGAGAGAGAGAGAGAACCACATTGTCACCTTGTGTATATCATCGTAGACACGGAGATGCCGTGCCTGCTCATTGAAAGCCTAACTTCATACCAATAATCATTAATTATACGAATGTGAAACTTTAAAGAAACGAGAACAAGTTGCAGATCAGTTTTGCCTTATTAGTAGTCGTCATTGCTCCTCTCTGCAACTTTGTCCTCCTCCCGCCCTCCGTCATTTATTTCTTTCATCCATCTATCCACAAACACTCTGATTTTTTCTTTGTCCTCTCTAGCAGGAGCAATGTCCATCTTCGTAATTTAGATAATAAGGTGCTCATCATGCTAATTGAGATCTTAGCAATGTCTTAATTGGCTGATCGGAGCTTAGCTTTTTTTCTGGGATGTTGGGATTTTTTATCGCCATTTATATTATCCTCGAATCCTGCTCAAATTTCTATCCGCGCCATCAACTTCGACTCGATCTCCGTCTGAGTTGCTGTTGCAATTGAGCGTTTGCATCCGGCCAAAATCCCCCCTTCTTTAGTTTCTCTGCCATTATATCTCAAGATGCATTTAAACTGAGCGACCGTTCAAATTCTTGAGAAGTTGGATTCTTTCTCCGTCATTAAATGTTTATATATAATTAAAAAAAACCCCAATTAATCGCCATATTTTGAGTCCTAAATAATACATTACATTTTTCAGACTTCATGTCACACTTTGGTCGGTCACCCTAGTTTCAGAAATAATATATATAAATTGAAAAATTAAAGTAAAGAAATATTTTATTACTATCAGGGTTGATATAGATCATTATACAGTACAATTTTTTATAAATGGACTACTTATTAAACTTATTAGACAAACACACTTGTGGGGAACGCATGCGTCAACTCATGTTTGTTAAGAAAACCAGATTAACAAATAAATTTGATGTATTTTTGGAAGATGGAAAATTAGCACCCGCCCTTTGGGGGGGGGGGATGGGGAATGTAAAGACATATATGCAGAGTTCGTGAATAGGAAAGTAGCAGCCAAGACATAGACGACAGAGTCCAAAATTTATATATGCAAGTGCCGTGACTGGGTGGGAACTGTATAGTGAGATTTCATTCAGAACATTCTCCACTTTTGGCTTTGCAGCAATAACGGTTTTTCCCGTAAAATCAACCAACTTCATGCCGCCTTCATTTGTTCTTTTTCCCCATAAAGAAGGTAACATCTCTAGCTTCTCTTTAAAATACTTCCACTGCCATCTCTGGCCCCCTCTATCAATCAATCTCATCCCATCACCTTCCTCTGAACTACTTGCCCATTCATTAAAATACATGTTGATATGATCGAAACTAAATAGTGGTTTTGTCGTCCTGAAACCATTTATAGGCTCCGCGAAGCAAATTTCTCGAAAACGTTATCATATCTAACCTTGAATCCTTTTCCCCACGAGCAAAAATGTCGTAAACTTCAGCTTATTAAGTTTTTTCCGTTTTCCTTTTTGATGTCATGGACATGCATGAGGGGGTTAAGGGGTTTGACGTTGCATAAGATCACATGTAAATAATTATTATTCAAGAACCATTATCAGGCTGCTCATTGCTCACAGGATACGAAGCACTAATTGTCAGCTTATAACCATGTTCAAGAGTGAAAGTTTATGAACTATGCGCAAGATGGTCTTCAAATTCGATGTTATCAATATCAGAAGCATCTATCTATCTATCAATGAATTAATAATGCAAGGTACATTCAATTTTAAATGTTCATTGATCATCTCATCTAAATTTCAAAACATCTTACTGAAAACATTAATGAAGGAGTGCAGAGGTATTTATGAAATAGCATCTATGGATGTGCGTAGATACCCGACCTGCTCTCTCTCTCCCACTCCCTCCCGCCCTCTAGGATCCTAAAAGAACACACACTCCTTGGTTAGATGCATATACACCATCTCTTCGAGTGGCAGTGGATGAATAACAAACTATATTAAATATACACATAAGGCTCCATTAGCATCATTCATTATGTTTCACTCTATCCTTAACATTACTGGCTAGCTCTATAAAAATTAAAAGCCCTTTTCTTTTCCCCTCTACTTCCCTCTGCCTCCTCTCTCTATCTCAGAGTAACGGCTCTCATTTCTTTGGTTTCAGTTATTAGTACTGCGTGGAAGTCTGATACTGCTTCTGTTCTGCACTACCTTCAGTTTGGGATTCTGTGCACCACTCCTACCTGATTCCCGTGAGATCCTCTTGCTTCTAGCCGTTTTACAAAACCCATGTTTTCAATAATTAGAACCAACGGCATACATACAAAAGGCTCTTATTTTTGATAGCGATCGTTTATTCTCGATCGCATCATCATCTTCCCTCTCTTCTTTCCTGGCTCTTTACAACCCCCTTCCTCCATTCCCACCCTTCTTTTCGTTCCTTCCTCAGCCCTTTTTCCCGTTCCAAACAGTCCACGGTTTCCCCAACTCTTCTATTTACGTAAAAGCGTAAAATGGATGACAGCTTTTCCGATATCCTTGAAGATAAGGAATTTGGTGGGGACGAACTCTTTGCCATTTTGGAGAGCCTTGAGGACTTCTCCGACTTTCCTCCCGTTGATGAAGTTGTTATCAGCACTAAGGAGAACGAGGAAACTTCAAGGTTCGCGTCACAAAAATCAAGTTCTTCAAGTGCTCTACGAGAGTCTGAAGAGACTGAGCTTGAAGCTTCACCTAAGAGCAAGAGACAGAAGCTCGCACCCAACACTTCGTCAGAGGATCCAAACCCAGATGGCCAACAAAGGACATCTCACATCACTGTTGAGCGCAACCGAAGAAAGCAAATGAACGAGCACTTGTCCGTCTTAAGGTCACTTATGCCAAACTTTTATGTCAAACGTGTAAGTCTTATCTCATCCCCTAGAAATTAGAAGTAAAACTCGATAAAATGTTAACATATTGACGATATAGTTTGCAGCTTGATTTTATGTACGTACACCATGAAAAAGATTAACTCGTCTGTTTGCATAATGTTTAATAATTAATACTTACCCATTAATCGTGCATGCAGTCTTGACTTATTAATAATATTCAAATGCTGCTTAAAGTAAAGTCGCTTAAATATGAAGAGTATTTCGTCCTAATTAACTTGTTCATTGGAAATGGTTTACTTAGGGAGACCAAGCATCGATAATTGGAGGAGTGGTTGATTACATAAACGAGTTGCAGCAGGTTCTACAGTCCCTGGAGGCCAAGAAGCAAAGAAAAGTATACAGTGATGTACTAAGCCCAAGGCTAGTCTCAAGTCCAAGGCCTTTAGCTCTTAGTCCTAGAAAACCCCCTATGAGCCCTAGGCTCAGCTTGCCAATTAGTCCCAGAACTCCACAGCCAGGTAGTCCTTACAAGCCCAGGTTGCAGCAAGGTTACCTTTCTCCAACCATCTCCAACTCTCTCGAGCCATCTCCTACCTCTTCTGCTGCTTCGTCCTCCATTAATGATAACATCAATGAGCTAGTGGCCAATTCCAAGTCTGCTATGGCCGATGTGGAGGTCAAGTTTTCTGGGCCACACGTTCTTTTGAAAACAGTGTCTCCGCGTATTCCAGGGCAAGCTTTGAAGATAATATCAGCACTTGAAGACTTATCTCTTGAAATCCTCCATGTCAGCATCAGCACCGCTGATGAAACCATGCTAAACTCATTCACTATTAAGGTACTATAATATATCAACTCGTTCGCATTTTCTACTTAGTCTTTAGTTTTTAATCATTAGTAAGTTTGTTTTTAACATTTTTAAGTAAAGGTGAAAGCAGTTGATACAATAAGTTGTATGAAGCAAAAGTTTCAGGTGGTTTCTCTTCCAAGTGTGAAGACATAGAAAGAAATAACTAGGTTAATTAAATACAGAACGAAATACAGTATATGATGAACGAGACCCAACCTCACTCTCCCTTTATCACGTGTGTGGACTGACAGTACTGCTTCTCCTTTAGTTACAATTACGTGTGGATTTTATACACATGCAATGTGTGTAAAAAAAAAAAAACTTCTCGTTTGTTGTCCATGAAAATGCAGCCTATATAATACTTGTTGCATAACTAATCTTATGTGGTTCTTTCATCTATCTTCCTTAATCCCTTCTCCTTTACCGGGTTGGATTTCAAGTACTATATTGTCATAATAGTGACCTAAATTAAACTGGGTGTACTAAGAATAATAGTAACTCAGATTGCTGATTACTTTACTGCTGACTAGAATTACTGGAGAAGGAGAATAATGGTTGCTCTTCCCCTTTTCTCTTTTTGGTTATTTTGGTGGGAGGGGGCTGGGGTTGGCGAGTAGTTACGCTGTGCAGTATCTACCGCGATATATGAATCAAAAATAAATGAGATGCTAGCTGTAGCGAGACTTTCAGACAGTATATCTTTCATTTAAGTGTCTGAGATAGCAGGGAGATACATGGCATCTCTCACGCATTTCTCCTGAACTTGTGAGGAAAAAAGTACTAATAAGAAATTGTTATAGTGCTGTGTCGTTTTGTTTAAAAAATAATTTATTATGATCGGGTGTGCTATTAATAGCTTGATTTTCTGATGAATAGATTGGAATCGAATGCCAACTCAGCGCCGAAGAACTGGCTCTACAAATCCAGCAAACATTCTGCTGATGAATCTACTAATTCGAGTTAGTAGTGTGCAGGATTAACTTTAGATTGATGCTACTCTCTCTCTTTTGATTTATCTCTTACAGTGTCGCAACTTGCACGTGATTACATAGACAACGGGAGTTAGCTATTAATTACTAGCTTTTCGCTTTTTTCTTTTAACTGCTGTTTCAAGTGTAATTGGTCCTGAAGCATATAAATTAGGATCTTTTAGAGTTTTTTAGCATAAAGTTTCTTCTAGAGTTTGGAGAGGGACAGACTGACACCGAGTCAAAATATGAATGAAACTCATTATTTCTTTCTTTTTTCGCACCCTCCTTCTCGCTCTCTTTTATTTTTTTTTATATCTCTCCAAACTCTATAAAGATTTTATAATAAAAAACTTTTCAGAGAGCATACTTGTGTGATTCTATTGTAACTGAGCACCTTCAAATTTCATTTTCTTACGCTTGAATTCCAATTCCATTTCTTGAACTGAAGCACATGGTGACTGCGTCATAGTGCAAAAACTTGCATAAGGTTTGATTATTTGTGGAGTCTCCTCTTTCAAGGCATTTATTAAGTAGCAGCATTAATGTTATTATCGCTGCCTTTGCTAGTCTAGGTTTGCAGTGACTGAGCTGGAAGTTGGATGCTGGAAAGGCCGAAAGGGACTGCTGTGTTTAAAAAAAGAAAAATTAAAAAAAAAAACATAGCATCTTGTGAAAAAAATAATATTTGTCGGCCTCCCCAATTTTCATCTGGCCAATGACCTATGATTGCTATAACTATAAATGAAACCAAGCACCAAGATCAGACAAATATTTGCCCTTTAAATAACAAGTGGGCCGATTGCAGGATAGATATATGCCAGTCAATTCAATCATGAGTGTTCTGTACCCAAAAAAAAATTCAATCATGACTGTTTGGGCCCCAAATTTATTGACATGCATCCCAATCAGAGTCGCGAGGGACAGACATGTTGAGCCCCTGGTCCTAAATTTTGGAACCAAGCTTGTACCTCGTTAACCCCAAATCCGTGAGTTTTGAGCTGCCCTGTGTTTTCTCCATAAAATTAGCTCGCTGTTGAATGTTGGAGAGAGAGATTCGGGTGGGCCATATTGCTCCATACGTGGCCACAGAGCCAAAGTTCTTCCAGGTTGGAATGCAATAGCTTTTGGGAATGTTCTGATCTATCTTTAACAATAATGGGGAAAGCTAATTGAAGCGTGCCTGAATGCAGTTGACTGATATAAACCCAAAATAGCAGATTTCGCTGCGTACCATGGAACGCTAATTTTTATCACTGAATTTGCAAGTGTGAATCTATTTTAAAATTTGTTGTCGATGGATTACCCATGGCGATGACAGTCGTGTCTGCATGCCTGTTAGTTTTTTTTTTTTGACGTGACAAATTGAAGTTATGACTTATAACCATTGTCTTATTTTGAAGTTGTTTATCATAATTTTTTGGCGGTAAGACCTACAAGCATCTCAGTTTTTTATTGTCGCGTAATAGTACGTTTTATGTATAATGTCATATGAAAAGGCGTTGCAAAATTTACGAAGATAAAAAACCTCAACGCTCCCAAAAATATGCCTGAAGAAAGCATCAATATATATATATAGCGACATATGTAATTGCTCAATATACTGCTAATACCTTACTGCAACAAGAACAATAAATTGTAGGCTGACATCGGGGATAACTTAAAAAAAAAAACTTTTCTTTTTTGGCTAAAACATATAGTTATCTTTTTATTAAAGACAATCCTATTTGAAATACTGTCAAACACTAAATATGAACATTTCTTTCAGCATAAATTCAAATCTTGGTTCCTCTCGTTATGGGCAACTAACTCAAAAAACTTATAATTGTAATTATCTTTAATAATACTTTTTTGTTCCGAGCAAAAAAAAAAGCCATCAATTTGATTAGGAGGACCTGGGGGCTGGCTTCTCCTGTGTGTTTTCATTGGGATGGGCCTCCCGTGGTTTTGATTGTGGCAGGAAGCCCATAACAAGGCCCGTTCTGGTATGAGCCATATGTGCAAAAGCGTGATTTTCTTCACGGCTTCCTGATGATCCTGTCAAATGTTGTCATGGCGGTCAACCTCTCTCTTTAATGGTCAAAAGAAATTTCGTGAACCAAACTCGAAGACCCATTTTTCAGATACGTGGTGTTTTCCACATGTGGTCTAAGTCAGCAAATGAATGATGGTTGACGTGATCTGATTAAAAAGTTGACTTTTATTTTTCAAAAATTTGAAGCTGAATTGTGACACAGGAAATAAACGATATAGATCCCGACGGTACCTTGCTGTTCTCTCAAAAGCCAAAAATCACAATTAGGGGGAAAAAAGGGGGTCCTTCAAGGGGGAAAAATAATTTGACATGTTTTTAGTAAGGAAGCAGCACTGTCTCTCTGACACCAACCACAGAAATTGCTAATTCGTACGATGGTACGAGGAGTTAAAAACACGGGCAAATGCCACTGTTTCTCTTTGCTATATGTATACACACACATAGCTACGCTAATACATATATCTCTATCTATAATCTATATATAGCTAAAACAAAACCTTGTCAAAAGCAAAACTATGCACGACTAAAAGTATCCTGGGTTCGGAAATGTGAAGTTGCGGCCTTCAATTTCGAAGCGGTCAAATGGGAACTCGGAAGCGACGGCGGGGGCGCTTGCCGGAGAGACGACGTTGTTAATGTCAGAGGTTGAAGCAGGCAAATTAAGGGGTCCTGCTGAGGTATTGACCACTCCTTGGGACACCGAATAGTTGGCTGCGGCAGGGGAGGCGGGGGACATGTATGGAGAAGAACTAAAGGTTTCAACGTTGTTTTCGACGGCAGGACACGTGGAGTCTGGGCTGTCGGGTTTCACGTTGGAAGTCGAAGGCAACAGGAATGAAGCAAAAGAGGTCTGGTCAGAAGCATTTAAGTTCTCCGTCAGCACCCTCAGGCCTGCACGTAGGTTCACGAGCTGTTCTTGCGACGGAGGAGCGGTGCTGGGGGCGAGCTTGCAGGTGTGGTTTCCCCTGTAATTAACTTCCATGATTGCCGGGTCTTCGTCGGATCGTTGCACTTGCTTTGTGGCCAAGCACCCCTGCGTATGTCTATGGGTGCATCTATAGTATCCTCTGCACGTATTTCCCATTCAAACTAGGAGTGAGTACTTTTTCTTGCCAACAACTAGCAGCGAGTATTTGCTTCATGCCATCAGAATCAATATCATTATATATTATACTGTCAATCACACATGCACGTACCTCGGGAATTTGGCTCCAAGAATGTCTTTCTGGCCATATTTCCTCCAGCTAAACCCATCGTCGAGAAGGGACTCGACGGCCATCCCGGGGCTAATTCTAATCTGCTTGGTCCATCTTGCCAAGGAGTTTCTGCGAGATGAGAATTACATGGAACTCAGATAAACAGGACAGCATTATTATATTGGGTGTGTGGAAGAGTGAGGAATGGGGAGATACATACTGTTCATGGAGCTGGATATGCTTGTGGGAGTGTTGGGCAAGAGGACTGAAAGGCGGTGAGTCAGTTGGGTGTTTGGCGGCGGGGCTGTTGAGCAGGGCGAGGGCGTTGTCAAATGCGGCGATGATGCCACGGATCAACATGTCAGGGGTTTGTGGGGAGGCGGAGGGAGCGTTCACACACATCTGAAGCTGCCTTGCGAGGTCCCTCCCCTGGAGCAGCTCGTTGATGAGGTCATGTGCGCCCGAATCTTCCATGGTCTATGGCTGGGGAGGGAGATAATAGGACAACAGTTGGCAATGTTGGGAGCTCCAGGGCGGAAGGGAGGGATGAGAAGATGAGAAGCAGGGGAAGGTGAGATTTCAAGGGAAGAAAAAGTGAAGGGGTTGACTCAGAAAATGAAAGGAGTTGAATTGCTGGTCTTTGGTCAGAGCAACACCTCTCAGAATCCAATTGCTGACCCGTTCTCCTCTGCTACAGCACTCTCCCTCTCATCAACCCCCTTTGCTGAATTCACCTGCAACCACCCATCGGCCCAGGTCCGAGTTTTACGTTTTCCTTATTGGGCCATCTCGCCTCTGAAGTCCCGATTTGAGTTGGATTGCGGTCCAGAACCTTCCAAGCCCTTCTTGGCTTAAAACTCAATAATGCTAAAACGCTCTGCTTGCCGGTCCAGTGTTGTGTACCAACCCATCTCCCAATACATGCTGCCCTCTTTCTTTATCGTCGTCATGGTAGAAGTGCACATCAGTTGGAGATATTCATTGATGCCAAATTTTTTACTTTTTCTTCTTTACACTTTTTTTTTTAATAAGCACAGTTATACTCCTGTGAGAATTAATTTTGTTTCAGGCACTAGACATAAACATTTCTTCTATTTTTTACCCTTTACAAAGTCATAACTTCAAATTAACTATTTTTATTGAAAAAAATTTGTTGATATTACACGAATTTGACTGAAAATATTTGAAGTACAACTTAAAAATTGTACGTTTTCAAAATAACAATATGAACGTAATTTCAATAAAGTGTGTGTAATTTAATCAATTCTTATTATTGCTTCCATTTTAATTCTGAAGACTTGCCCTCGCGGAGGTGCCGTGAGAAACAATTTTGTTTTTCCCTGATATTTGATGGGAAAATCAGCATATGATGGCGATGGTTTTGCCATATATCCACCTGGAATATTGTCATCTATCTCTTGCAGCGGCAAACGACCATTAAGAAATGTTACCTCGTTGGGTGATAGAGTCTTGCGGCAACATATTCTCTGAATGTGGCGTCGTCTCTTCGCACTGGCTTTTAGGTTGGGTCCGATTCATTGTGCCAACCCACCAAAATTTTGATGGCAATATTTACGGATCACTGATCCAAGATCCTTTGTCTTGTCTCATCGCTTCATCACTGACGCTAACTTTGAAATCTTGCTGTTTGATTCTTGCTTGTCGCTGATATTTCCAAGGATGATCCATATCCGACCGTTAATTGACTTGTTTCCTACCGCTTTAATTTTACGGATCAGGAAGCAATATGGCCAAGTTTATTCCTTCGTAATAGCTTCTGGCGGTAGTGCTTATGGAGTTTAAGGAATAGCATAATTCTTAAGATCATCATCAGTTTGCAAGTGGATGAGAAGACTGGCAACTAATTGAAGTGTCTTTCCATCACAGAATTTTATCTCAAAAGATGTTCTCTCGCTATCGACAGAAAGAGAAATTAATGAAGGAGAGTAGAGTGAAGAATGAGTGACGGGACGGAGCGATGTGACTGCCTTTTAAGTTTTAGTAGTACAGATATTTTGATTTTGATCAGTACAGCAGAAGTTCCAAACAACATTAAAAGGAAACCAATGCATCATATTCTCTCTTTAATCTTTCTAGTTGCTGCCATCCATTTGCAGTTTTTGACGCCTCATCATCTCTCTTGGTAATTAACATCGCAATGAAACTAAATTTGTATAAAATAATAACATTTTCGCGTTTATTTTCCCCCAAATTCATACTAATATATTACACACGTTCACACACCCGGTCGCATACGCGTCTGCAAACGCCTTTTATGTGTGTCTCCTTTTTCCTCGATAAATATATGGATAGCTTATATTTTTCAGATGCAGTTCATTTCACTATATGTGGTTTTCAGAAGTTTACATGGTATCATCGCAAGCACATATTGTTAGCTAGAACGGGCCTCTGCCATCCAAGCATACGGAAGAAGGATAAGTACCAAGAGACAGCATCTTCAAAACTCAGTGAAACACTAAAAAAAAAATGTAAAAGATAAGCACCCAGATTTTTCTAATAACCCATGGAAGTGATGAGTGTTATATATCATGTGTTATATATTGTTGGGATGGTGTGGGAGATTGTTATGATGTCCAAATTTTTGAACTTGAGTTTATATAAGAAATCTCATATCAGATTTGAAGTTAAGAAGTGGTGTTTTTTTTCTCCTTTGATTTATCACTCATTTTTTCCCTCCATGTTCAGGCTTCGCTCTTGCTCTAAATTAATAGTGTATTCATACGTTGTGGGTAATAGAAGTACATAACAACGGAGCAGCTAGGTTTCCAGGTCAAAAAACTATAGGCAGCTATAGGGCGGCTATATATGTGTGTGTGCTGGATTTTGTTGGGAGCTAGGCAACTTGGCCTTTTGATATCTTTTGGATCGGGAGAATCAAATTCTATGCTCTCTGCAGCAGAGAACGCACACTCTGTTTTAGGGTGGCCTTTAGACGCAAACCATTGAGCCTGTGAGGCAGGCAAACTATAAGGTGCGAGCGAGCCGAAGGCATGCCGTGGATGATGGGTCTCCACTCTCCCAAAAGTCCACGACGTACCGTGACATTAAAAGTGTATCTTTATATTTTTTGAATTTAGTTCTTCGTCTTCAGATGCACCGAGGACCATACACTGACATCATTTTATTGCACTAATATGTAGCTAGAGAAACATCTATGATGTTTACTTGTGTGTGGGGATATTAAATTCATACTTGGTAGGCTTATCTGTGTACTTCAACGACGTAACTCTATCTTTACGTACCTACTGGTGAAAAGAGCAAACCCAATCCCATACGTAGCATATGACAATAATACACGTTTTCAAAAGTACATGTTATATAATTGTGATTATAAAATAATTAATAATGGCCCAACATGATTCGCTCGATCATCGACTATTGTGTATTCTAAATATGTGCCTAATAATACTTAATATGCTGCTTTACAGTTAAGATCGTAATAGCGATGGACGAATGGTATCGAGAAGCCAAAGAAAAATGTACGGAGAAGAATGAAAGGTACGCGGCTTTGTAATAAAATAGGGATGATAGGAGTGATTTTGGATTTAAGAAGCACTAGTAAAGTGGGCATCACTTTGCGTTTCTGAAATCAAGCTACGACAAGGCTAAGGCTAAAAGTTGCAAGACGCGTGCTTGTATACGGATTCTAATGAGCTGGATGAAACTCAACATCTCACAGCTGCATGTTAAAACAAGCCAAGGGAACGGGTTGCGAACAAATGACTAATTAACTACTACTTCTGGTCATTATTATACAATCTTGTTTAATTTTTATTTTAATCTTAAATAAAAGACCCAAGCCACTTTGTTTTTCATATTTATATATTTTTTCTCAAAATAATCATTCTAATAATAGTAGTTCTAGCCAACACACTTGATTAGCAAGGATATTTTAGAAGAGACAGCATCTATTTATTTTAAATAACTAATTTAACTTATTTTTTTAATCTCATCAAATTAGTCAATAGCTCTTATATTTAGAACCGGAGGTAGTATTATATTGTTAATTAGCGCATTATTTCTTTGATATGTTTTCCCATACATTTCTACCATAAACGACAATGTCATATGAAAGGTGATCACTTCTCATGTATTCTCATCAGCCCCACTAAGCAGGAACCAACAGAATTCGTTGTAATTAGTGAAGATAACATATCAAGCATACCCACTATATATCGGTATTCAATAAAAATTCGATCATCATTTTCATGCTATTAGAAAGGGGTGTGTGTGTAAAACAAATGTTGGAGCACATAACAAGTCTTTTTGGTACTGTCCGATAGCCCGCTGGACCCATCTCGCAGAGTTTGCGTTATTTGGTACACGTTTTTGTTTTTGGGGGGAGGGGGGTTTGGAATTTTTGGGGCTCTATATACGAGATTAGTCATTATTAATTATAAGCCGAGGTGATATTACGAATCGATAAAGGCATCAATCCTTTCGAGATGATTTAAGTTACCGAGGAGACCATCCTTTGCAAATTTAGCTTTGTTTATGGGCATCTCGTGCGTGTTATCATGTTATGTATAAAAGATATTACTGTTCTTTCAAAGCTTTCACAAAATGGCTCTCATAACGAGTGGTTACTCTTGTTCCTTTAAAGATGAAGAGGAGATTCTATTTAGTAATATTGGCCTGTTATATAAATATACACACACACACACACACATATACTTGCTATACACACACCGTAGGTACAAAGGCACTTTACTTTGGGGCGAATCGTGTTCTCTTTAATTTCTTCAACTTTCTCCAAATCTACCACATAATTTCTTCACTATCCGATGGAGGAAGAGAATTAATCGAACCGAAGTTAAGAGGGAAAGGGGAAAAAAAAAGTAGTATAGAAAGGTCAAAGGAATATGCCCGTAATAAGCTTTGGTTTTCCTGGTGCGCCATAGTTAAATGAGAAGTGAGAAAGCTTATTTCAAAGTCAATTAAGATTTGATTTACGCATATTCGTCTAGCAATATTGCCTAGCTAGCTTGTTGTTCCCTGATTTTTATAAAGTGGACGTCCAATTGAAAAATATTGATGTGAGGCCTCTTTTTAACACAATTTGAGTCACGCATATTCCCATCCTATCTGTATTTTTTTCCTCAGTTTCAACTTGCCTTCTCCATTATAGGTTGGCTTTTTGTTTAATAGCATTATCAATGCATACGTTTACGAATTATTCGAAGTTGTGCACCATGATATTAATTATACTTTTGTGGTCTAATCAAGTTAGTGTGGAGACCAATCCATGTTTGGCTTGCACGAATTTATATGAAAAAATTGCGCACACCCTTCCATTGAGTATGTGTATATATCCACATATGAATATTAATGAATTGGGGTAACCTTACTTAATCCTGCATGCTTGCCTAACCGATATATTTATGCATTGAAAAGGGCATATATATCTTTTCTAATTTAAATTAAAAGCTATTCCATTTTCACATTAATTAAGTGATGAGCGCTTTAGAGAGTTGAATATAAGGGGCAACAATTAGACGGAGAGGGGATAGCTCGAACTAAAATAAACAGATGGTCCCCAGGCTTT